TAAACACACGACAAGAAAATCGCTCAAAACTTTTTTTCCACAGCCAAAATTATAACTAAATATTCTTCGGAAAGTCTTTTCTTTCTATTTACGGTGAATTAATATCAACTAAAGGCTTTTTAAAGTTCTGTAAGCTTAAGCTTATATCAAACCTCATAATAGGTCAGATCAGTGTCTCAGTCAAATCTTAATACAAACGTGCATAAACTGGCTTTATAAACTGCGCCGCTGGACTTCATGAAATTGGACATAAATACAACAATTACTCAGGGTTACCATATTTCGAGATGCAGCTCCTGAAAGCTATCAAGTAAGGCAAGGATCGCTTGAGCCTTTATAATTCTCGTACGCATCCAGCAAGGTGAAAAACAAAAACGATGCCATGCGAAATCGGATTATCGGCTTTGACAAGCTATGCATTTCTCAACCAAAAACCCAATAAACAAACCAGCCATGAATAAGAGAACACTCTTGATAGCAGCTGTATTTCATTTTGTACATCCAGTGGAAAAAGACAGTTAAAAACATCACAAGTTGACTCAAAACTGTCAGCTTCAGCTGTCAAAGTAAACAACTTTCAAGATGCTGCATAAGTCTTACGCATGAACTGACCTGTCAAATTTTAACTAATCACAGCATAGAAATTGGACGTGGAGCGTGACCAACACGTGACCACGGTAAGAAAGGTCTTACCCGCCTGTGTTTTAAAAAACTGGCTGAATTCCTGCGTCCAAGGTCAGTTTGAAATCAAAATCATAATAGTGCGAGGCGATACTGACATAAACACAACATATCTGATATGATTTTAAAAAAAGTAAACGTGAGCCTGCGATCATTTTAAAACGAGTAAATTGTCAGCGGATTACTTCAAAAAATACTCGACCTTGCTGGGTCGACACCTGAGCCCGCGATACGGTCAGGTGATACTGGTCAGCGGATACCCTGTTTTGACAGCTGTCAATTGATGACAACATTGATGTGCAATCGGCTTTGTCCTGGGCTCCCAAAGTAGCTAGAAAGTGTGAGAGTAAACATTGGTATGCCTGTGGTGCGGACGGACGCTCGGTCGGTCGGTCACGTGATTACCAGATTTTTTTGGAATGGGTAGATATATTTACCCATGGTGCTCCGCCGGCGCACTTCGCGCGCGGAGCTCCGCTATCAATGTGCAAAAGGTTTTCAAAGGCTTCACACCGGTGTGAAGGCAAGATGTGCGGCCTCTCTCTTCTCGCAATTTTTACGTTTTGATTATTTACATTATGACATAATGTTTGTATTCCAAACAAGAAAGTAGCATAAGCAGCTGGGAACAAAACATATCTCCAAGCAAGCGAGACGCAACGCTACTAAGAGCGTTTTTGTTCTCGTTATAGTTCGTTCTGACTGACTTAACTGTCTTTTCCAACTGTTATTATGTAAGGGAATGTCAATGTTTCACGCTTTTACCTAAGTTTGCTGTTTAGCATGAATTGTATCAAGAAGTAACCAATAGAAATTTTTTGATTTCATGTTGAGTAGGTTTAACTTTGAAGTGTGGGTTCAAGGTGAAATGAGGCTGAATCAAGTTGGAGGTCGTTCACTTAGCCAGATTACTTTCTTTTAATTGATTTAGTCGGTATTTTGTAGATGCTTTTTTATAGCATCAACGACCTGATAGCACAGTTAACAATTGGTTTAGAAACGCAGTCTTCGCTTTTGTGTCAATGTTGAAAAGAAATAAAGAAAATAAACGATGAAGTTCCTTTTTATTATAGATGGTAAAGTATGTTAACTTTTTAAATTTAAATAATATTAACAAAAATCAGAAAGGCCTCAAGTAAAAAGAAAATAGAGATGTATAGGTTGCTTAAAATTCTCAATGCTTTCCGTAAATGATCTGATAAACCCAAGGGGAAAGAGTTTATAAATAATAGCAGAATATCAACAATTGTAGTCCATTCATTAATAAGTCTAGGCCACCACATAGAGATCCATATCCCTCCTTCAAATTTCAACTTCGATGTCAGAATGTTCTGGGTCACTACCGTAAAATTCCGAAAATAAGCCCCGGGGCGTATATTTTTCAAAGGCCCTTTTGAGGGGCTAATTTTTGGTGGGGCTTATCTACAGAGAGAAATTTGCGTTTCAAAATCGAATGGGCTAGCCTTATATTTGGAAGTAAATACACCGTTTTTGCTTTGTTTTACTTTGTATTTGAGGGCAATTTTCCAAGTACAAGTCGCCGGGGGGCTTATATTTGGAGAGGCGATTTAACGGAGGGTTTTTGCGTTACCGGTTTGGGGGGCTTATATTTGGAGAGGCTTATACATGGAGGGGCTTATTTTCGGAATTTTACGCTATGTTGTCTTTGTAAGCTCATCCGAATTTTAAACTTGACAAGCGTATAATAAAAATTTAACATCTTAGGAGAGGCGTTTATTACAGAACAAGCGTTTATTTGAGAGTGAGCGTCTATTAGATCATTTGGGATAGGTCTCTTTGGGATAAGTCTTCTCGGTTATTTGTGGCTAATTTACGCCTGGCTTTCCGCTGTTTTTAAATAGTTTCTTCTTTAACAAAACTATTTTGCAGAATTTTTGTTTTGAAGAAGTAAAAATTACTCTTAAATGCTTCTATAACTTTGTCCATTAACTTTTTATGACCATTAATTTTCGTTTTTGATTTTCTTAGCTATTGACGTTGAGCTTGTCCAGTGACGCCCTGAAAAGAAAATAGCTGTCGTTATTGCAGAATAAGAAAGAAATATCCAAATTTAGTGAGAAGTCAAGAAAAAAAATGTAAATAATTAAAACATGTGAGGAAATGCACAGTAGGTCTGGACTGCAAAGCCTTAAAAAAAAAATAACAAAGTGAAGGATGGTGGCTGTTGCCAGCTAAATTTATCTCCAAGTAAGTAAAAGTATTTCGTAATGTTTGTTTAAAGGCCAGTCGAAACATATCTTAGGTCTCAAATAGATAGAGTATAGGTATATAATTTAAGCAGTTGAACACGAAAAATGACAAGGTTTCTACCTGGCTTCAAGGACCTGCTGTTCCAATCTCTCCTGTAGTAGGAAAAAAAACAAAGAAAATTATATGTAAGCAGCTAGAAGGACAAAAATATAAACTCAGTGAATAAGAAACAAGGGTGAAGTCAAATGAACTGGGTAGCGCAGGAAAAAAGAAAAAGAATTCTAAACGTGTGATATTACAATATACATTAACAGACAGTAATTCCACTAGATTACATTACGGTGTAAAACGTTTTCCACGTTTGAAAGTAGACAATACTTCTGAGCGCTGGCCTGTGAAGAGTGGCACGTTTGACAGCAAGATACATTAAAGTGTGGTAGAGTAAAGACACATCAGAAGGTAATGTTTATGAGCCTGACAGGCTAACATTTCATGTAAATGAAAATGTGTGAAGACACTTTGTATAATGGGAAAATATTTTGCATTGCAAAGGAATATAAACGTTGAGTGCTTCGGAGCCACTGAGCAGACCATCTAACAGTACGGATTAAGTGAGAATGTAAACTTAGCTTGTTGCTACACAAAAACGCTTAGAGCAGCATAGAACAACATTGCCTATTATCGAATCGCTACATGGCAATTTCAGATCTATTTGTTAAGCATGCACCCAAGTTCTACAAATATCAAATACAACCGTATAAATTCACATCATCCACTATTCAACAAGACTACAAACTGGAAAACTGATGATCTATATGATCAATTTCTTTTTTCTTTGAAACTGATGTTTCTTATCTATTGTATCAGTGAGTTTCATAAATAAGTACTTCTGTAGAGTGTAACTTAAGCTATGCTTTATATTATTGTCGTGTGGATTTAATTTGGCAATGTTATTAAATTTGTACTTCCTTTGAACGTCCTTCATGCAAAGCGGGGTTGGTATCTAGAGGAACCCATTACCTTTTGCTCACCATGCCAGGTAAGTAAATGTTCATTTTCTGGAATATGCAGTGGCTTGTTTCTCAATTTGTGTTATTGAGCCAACAGATGGCAATGGCAGATTGTGAATTGTAATGAAATACAGCCATGGCACAATCCTAAACAACAATCCCTCTACTTTCATGACTTAGTGTTCTTACCTTGACATTTTCATTCCTTGATCGGAATATTCGTCCTTGTAGATCTTCAATCTGCACCCTGATCCCAGCTGCATTGTGCCATACTCGGATTTGACGGTCTCCACCTCCTGCAGTAGCCAGGTAACGTGAGCTTGGATGCCATGCAATAGCTGTGATGTCATCTGCAAGTGGGTTGTTCAAACAACACAGTAGAATAACAAAATTAGACTTCAAGATAACCATGGCTGTTCTAAAAATATGAGATATACACAATAACGAGTAAGATTCTTCACAAATGTGATTGAAATGACGATGATTGGAAAAGGTTGTGCTACAATAAAGCTTGGTCCCGGACCCATGTGTGAAAATTTGACAACATTGTAAGATTTTGAACTCGCTATCATTGTGTCTTAGAAGGAATGAACTAAATATTTTTTACCTTGACGTTGAAAGTGCCTTTTGTAAAATGAAACTGAACAATACACTGAAGACTGAGAGGGTTTGTTAAGTCTACATTATTATTGCATACAAGAGTTTGTTGTTAGTAACGGAGCGTTCGGGTGTGTACTACGAAACCTGGAATAAAAAAACCTAGAACCTTTTTTTGAGATTTAAATTTTTTGAGAAATATTTTCAAGGGGTTGCAAGGTAACCGCCTCATCTCTACTTGAGGGAGTTCCAATCTTTCAATGCATTATTAAGGGATCTGAGCAGTCCCCAGTTCGTATTTGATCTAATAGTTCTGATAGTTTAGATGTAATATCGTGTAATTAGATGACCACGGTTTCTAAACATAAAGAATTTCTTTAGCACTTTTCTATCCAGTCAATCATGTTAGCGGACTTCCTAGGAAACAGATATTCACTTGAACAAGTTCAAAAGGTCATCGTTTCTGATCAGTGGAATTCGACCTGTTTTGTTTGTTTCTTTGTTGCTCAGTTTGCAGCAGTCATCGACTAGCTTGCTTTAGGTGCGTAGCAAGCATTTTTGCGTAGAGAGGTTCCTAATGTGGTATTTTTGTCCAGATTGATAAACGAGCTTCGGAGGGTATTGGGTATAGGGCATTCTCGTCCGGAAAACCTTAATACGTTAGGCCCTCAGAAATTCCGTTTTGTAATTCTGAGCATAAATTTCCAATAACAGTGCCAAATGAAGCTACAACCAGTTGCAAAACTGTCGAAACACTCCCACGAAAAAATGACCTTTCTTGCTTCCAATCGCTCCTGGTCACAGGTCTGTGAGATATAATACTGACCTCCCTCCTCTCTCCCATTCAAAGTTGTTCCTCCAAGTTTTGAGCATGGTTTTTGTACTGCTAACAACTTTGATAAGGGGTGGAGGGGGATCACAAGCGCAAGATCATCGACAGGCCATTTATGCCAAAATACGGTAAGTGTGTCAAGTACTTTTGCAACTTGTTGTAGCATTTTTTCGCTTACAGTGAAGACTTCAAAATGTATATGCTGATAAACCTGGCATAATATTTTATACTCGAAACAATTTGGATTCCGTAATCATTAGCGTTAATTGACTTGATCAACAACATATCTTCAGCTATCGACAGAAATGAAACAACTTTAGGCATCTTCTTAGATCTTTCTAAGGCGTTTGATACTATTAATCATGAAATATTGTGTCAAAAACTGCAACACTATGGTATTCTGGATACTGCTTTGGCGTGGATCAAAAGCTATCTTGACGATCGGACTCAATTTGTCCAGTTTGGGTCCCATCGATCTTATCCGCGGAAAATTTTATTTGGCGTCCCGCAGGGCTCAATTCTTGGACCTCTTTTGTTAATTATTTACATTAATGATCTTCCTAATGTCTCTAGTCTCACTCAATATTTACCGTTTGCTGGTGACACAAGTATATTTTGTTCCCATAAAGATGCCAACCACCTCGTTTCTGTTGTTAACAATGAACTTGCAAAAATAATTATTTGGCCTAAAGTGAATAAGTTATCTCTAAATTTGACTAAAACAAATTTTATGATTTTTCATCCAAGGCAAAAGCAAGTCAATGTTAATGTCCCTCTTACTCTGGAAAATACTGTGATCAAGCAAGTCATGGAGACAAAATGTTTAGGTGTTCTTGTTGATCAGCATCTCTCTTGGAAACCACATATTGATTTCGTCTCAAAAAAATTTCGAAAAGTGTGAGAATTATTGCGAAAGCCCGCTTTAACCTATCATCCCAAACTTTGATGACATACCGCCACTTTATTAAGCCAGCTTAAAGTCCTTGACATATTTAGTATTAATTCATTTTCTGTCGGTACCTTTATGTATTCTTATCACCAAATCTTTTGCCTAGTTAGTAGTAGCTTTCATGACTTGTTCTTAAGTAGTAATGAAGTCCATCAATACGAAACTTGACTAGCCTCTCAGTATAGACCTCATTTTTGTAGAACAAATATGACGCAATTCAGTATCCTTTACCGAGGACCTAAAATCTGGAATTCGTTGCCTGTTTCACTAATTAGCTCTCCTTCTATATTTGTTTTTAAAAAAATTTAAAGAATTATCTCACTGATAGCCGATCTGTCGCTTTATTTTCTGATTTTGCTCACTCTGCACTCAGCCATGAATTAAGTTCACTACGTAGTTGAAGGAAGCCTGTTAATATAAGCTTCAAGCTTCGTTAGGCTTCCTTGTCACATTAATTTTATGATTTAATTAACACCTTTTGCTCATGTTGTATAAGGTTTTGTGAATAACTAAATAAATAAATAAAATAATAATCGTGCACCACGGCTATAGAGGTATGAAGGACTCAGACAACCAGTTGCAAAACTGTTGAGACACTCCCGCGAAAAAATGACCTTTCTTCCTTCAAATCGCTCCTGGTCACAGGTCTGTGAGATATAACACTGACCTCCCTCCTCCCTCCCATTCAAAGTTGTTCCTCCAAGTTTTGAGCATGGTTTTGTATTGCTAGCAACTTTGGTAAGGGGTGCGGGGGGGATCACAAGCACAAGATCATGGACAGGTCATTTATGCCAAAATACGGTACAGTGTGTCAAGTACTTTTGCAACTTGTTGTACCATTTTTTAGCTTACATTCTCAAACTCATTAATAATTCATTAAGAAAATACAAAGGAAATTAATGTTTAATGAGTGTTTGGAAATCGGATGAAACACTGCTTAGTATTTGCATCCTTAATTTCTCCTTCAAAAATGATTTTGTTTGAGAAGAAATATCAAACATTCGACACAGTGTTTCATCACCAGATGAAACACCTCGAAGTTCGTCAAAAATACTCCGCTGCGCGTCGTATTTTCAACTCTCTTCTCGGTGTTTCATCTGGTGATGAAACACTGCGTCTCATGTTTGATATATTACGTGAAGACTTCAAAATGTATATGCTGATAATCGTTGAATACATTAGACCACACATTGTAGTCTTGTGATTTGCCGTTTACTCAGTTAGAATATTAGTTAGAAGAAGACATCATGAATGCTTCCATGCAAGGGTGTCGAGTGTTGGATCTAGGCCAATTTTGTGTAATACACTGTTCATCAGAGCAAGTGCAGAGGACTCTCGCTCTTTCGTCATGGTCGCTGCTCACGTACTTGAAATATGCAGCAATTTGTATAAGTCTGAAAAGAATTAGTGGCCAAACCCCCAACTGCACTACTAGAAACCTCTTTTTCTGCGTTGAGCCGATTACGTTGCCAATGGAAAAGCGGCCACATGAAAATTAGGGGCGACGGTAGCCTAATAGACGTATCGCTTTAGCAGCCTGATACAGTCAACTCTCGCCTTGCGGACACTCTGCTATAATGGACAGCAGCTAAATCCCGGGCAAAAAATTAATTACAGATGTTTGACTGAAATAAACTTCCGCTATTACAAACTCTCGCTAATGACGACACTAACTCAAGGTCCCTAAAGTGTCCGTTGTAAAGGGAGTTGACTGTACTGAGTAGCTTTAATGTAAGGAAAAGGCAGTGCATCATTGTAGCCTGGGTGGCATATGATGAATTCATAATTCAATACTGCATGTTTTAGGCAGTTCGCCATGCTGTTAGTGTTAGTGTCCCAGTTTCAGACAACTTTGTCACAGTGATTTGCAGACATCAACGCTGATTTTATTCTACTTTTATAACCGTTTACACTGTCCTTCCGCCTCTACCGAGTTTGTATTAAACCCCATCATAGTCAAGCCATTACAACATACAACTTGAACCAACCAAGGTGCTGAATCCCACATTGCACGCTTGTCTACACAGGGGCCTCATATGATCTTCCTCATAGTATTTATACCGAACCCTCCAAATAGAATGTGATGCTCTTTCAAATGGTTTTCTTCTCATTTTTTAATTTTCCATAACAGCAAAAGTCTCATTCTCTTGAAATTATAGCCGGGGAGGGGGGAGGGGGGTGGTCAAAGTGAAGTCATCTTCAGACTCTGAAATATCGCACAGCTTGTCGAAACGTCAGTCACTGTCAACAACAGTCGTATTCGTTCACCCGGACGATCATAATCAACCTACTTATGTACTTCCAAAAGTAAGCAAATAGAGAAGATGGAGATAGTTTGGAATACTTTTTTAGTCAGGGAATTCATATTTGTCTGTTGATTTTGAGCTTAGCACAATTCCTATACACTGCTCATTAATGCTCTTGGTGTACCTCAGAAATATACCAAAATATAAGGAACTACAGAAAACACGGAATACCGTAAAATTCCGAAAATAGGCCCCTCCAAATATAAGCCCCCAAACCGGTAACGCAAAAAACTTTCCGTTCAATCGCCCCTCCAAAAATAAGCCCCTCAAAAAGGGCCTTTGAAAAATATAAGGCCCGGGGCTTATTTTCGGAATTTTACGGTACGTTAACTCACAATTGACCACTAACTTTGGCTAAGTTCTCAGGATTCTCAAAGCACGTTTGAGAAACGTTTGTTGCGTGTCTGTTGGAGATCATAGCTTTCATTACTTATAGGGGAACGTTGAACTAAAGAGGAAAGTAAGCGTACCAGCAAAATGACGAGTCTAATAAGACGAAAAAAATGTCGTATGTTGAAAAGAAAAGGACGAAAAAGGTGAAATACTGGTCAATTCCAGATGCATCTTTTAGCCGCGAACAACGAATATCGCAGTTTTGGATTTTACAGTTATTTCATGAGGTAGCTTAACGAAATTTGTTGGTTTGAACCTACTGTTACCGTCTCTCTCTGTGTATGGCCTTTGTTCTCATTTCTGATTGATTTTAAACCTGAAAACATTTCCCGCTTTTGTTTCTTTAAATGCTATTAGCTACCTCCTAAAATAAACAATAGTGCGAGACGTTATCGTGAATTTAATAAGGAAGAATTATGTGCAAAGATACACCTATAATTACAAATTTATAAAGATTACATTGAAAAGTGTTACAAATTAATGTCTCAGCTGTGTCCTAAAGCTTGTAGTTATAGTTTCATGGAACGAAATGGAAATCTCTCTGGATTTGCAAAAAGGTACCTCCAGGATTTTTTAGCAACTGTCTCATTTGAGGCTTGTTCAGTACTTGACCATTTTTTTTCTTATGTTTTCAGTACAAAAAACCCCTAACAAGTTGTAGTAGACTAAAAACAAAAAACATGTTTTTAATGCTGTTTACATCTTTCACCACCCCTCCCCTACATATCATTTCCCATCACTCTCCGTGACATAAAACAGTTACACTTGAAATCAGTGCATACGGTAGAAGTTGTTTTCTATGGTCGGTTAATTTTCTAGATTTCTTTCCGGTCGACTGCACCAAAGTTTTCCGGAATGCGTCTTGAGGCCTTATGAAGGAACAAGCCTCCCGAATGGCAAAGTCTGCCGTCGTCCAACATGTTACCGTATTTCGTCTCATTTTGGCTAAATGGGTGAATCATTGATTTCGGGCTTGAGACGGAAAGGCATCATTGGGAGCTTCGTTGTGGGCGGTGACGAAACTCTGGCCTCGAAAAGTAGTTTTTAGGGGTCAAATCTATTCGGCGAGAGCAAAATTGATGTTGATTTCTGATCAGTCTAGAGACTTAGTAGAGATTGTTTTGAAGGCCGGCATCTATGTGTCCTTTTTCAAAACGGCTCGTCTACATGTGGGATCTTGTCAGGAAAGTGTACATGTGATGATTTATGTGGAAAGAGCGAGAGTTATTGAGTGAGAGTAATTTGATGATATTTTGCCCGTATTAATGTTATTGTGCCTGGTTGGTTGTGGATAGTTTTATCAGTGCCGCGAACGTGGTTAATTGTGTGATTTCCTGAATTTGTTGACAGACAGAATTCACACAGGTATGTCGTGGTACTCGTGTTATAAGAATATTGTGTACAAGCATGAAAACGCTTCGTGAGTGTTTAGTTGAAGAGATTTTTTCTTAAACAACCGATTCTGGACTCAAGAAAGGAAAATTCTACGTCTGTTTTAGTCGGGCATCTCGCTATGAGCCTCACAGTTTGAGAGACTAAAAGGTCATAATTTCTGTGCTTTTATGTTCATTTCGTTACAAATCTGTCCCTTTTAACAAGAGCGACTTTTCATGTGTTTCCAGCGATTAATTTGTCCTTTTTAAGAGTCAATGTCAGTAAGAATCGGAGATAATCCCCAAATGGCGGACACAGCTCAAGATTCGTTTTCGCTGATACTTTTTACACTGATAGAGTATTGTATAGTAGTTAACAAAAGAGGGTTAGTTCAGTCTAATTTTTGCTCTTATAAGGGAAATTAAATAAAATCGGTTGGGTCCGTTTTGAACCAAAATGACCTCTGATGAACCGAAATTTCACTATATTCGTGACTCTCTCAAGTTAGCGGGATAAACTCTATAAATGATTTCTTACTGTGAAGAAATAGCTTGCCCCTTGGTGAATTAAATATTGTGTATATTGACAGATGATTTACTTTATACGACCCGTGGAGAGTGTTTCGCTGAAAACACTTCGTTGCCTTTTCTGAATGGTTCTAGAGTGACATAAAAGACCTGCCTAAAAACCCGGTCGGTACGCCAAAATAAATCCTCAGAATATGCTTTCTCTACAGTTTAAGGATAGATGTTTTATTTTATGTTTCCTTTTCATTTCTTTGGGATCTTTTTCAGTTTTTTGATACGACCTTCCCGAAGTTTGCCAATTTGCAAGATTTTTCGATGACCGCCATATTGAAACTGTGAAAAAGTACCGTGCAAAAATCGTCTTACTTTTGGATAAAATGAGTCTAAAATTATAAGTGCAAGTGAGATTTACCTTGGTAATACACAAAAGTCACTGCCTCTATGTTATTGGGGACTTTACGAACCAGAACGCGACGCAGCCTGAAACGTCACCGGAAGTAATTTGCTCACAAATTGCTTCACTACGCATGCTTGGCGCTTAACTGCAACGCGTCTTCTTCTTCATTTTAATTTGCCTTTTACTGAAGGTCAATTGGTTATCACTATGATGAATGGACAACACGCAGACCCGACGAGTTCGATACCAAAGTCGAAAACTTGCAAGTAAGTCCAATTTAGTTTATTAGAAGATTCAATTTCCTGTCCTGCTTAAATGTAAGATTAAAGTGAGTTTAAACTTTATATTTATGTTCTTCATTGAAAACAAACTAAAACAGACTGTTCTTTTTTTCACGCAGTAATGTGATGTACTGGACAAGCGAGCACGATGTCCTGTTATGCAGAGAGGGTTTTCCGAGAAGCCGTTCAAAACAAGAAAGGGTTCGTCGCAAAGAAGCGACATTCGGGATAGAATAGCCAACACTTTGAATACCTGTCCCAAGTCTGTCTTTGCTGTGGATAAAAGGTCCGTAAGAGATCATGTGGGTATTTTAATTAACCGAATCAAAGTGAAATGATGCGGCTAATGCAAGAACAACAACAACAGCAGCAACAGCAACACTTGGCGTCACAACAACTGATGTTGAGACAGCAACAAGACCAATCTAAAGCACTGATCAGACGATCAGTTTGTTGGACAAACTTGTGAACAAATAGCTACCTAATTCACTTAAAATTCACCAGTATTGCTGGTATAGCTGTCGCTTGATTTTGAAAACCAGTTTGTATAATGTATTAACTATTGTCTTTGTTTTGACAAGAGTCACGACGAACGTTTTCTGTCAGCGATCAATCTTTGTATTTCAACAGTGGCACCGCATTTTTCTTGTGCCGAGGAGCCCACATTTTGTTATGTTCTATTATTGCAGTTATCTCATTGGATGGTGGCATATTAGAAAATATTTTTTGTCTAGAATAGCTGAATAATTTTTTTGAAAATTTAGATTCTGTTGCGTAAACTGCAATAAAATTCTGTACGTACAGTCTGCTATAAAAGAAACTAGTGATACTTTATGTGTTCAAAAACAGGTTTTAAAAAACTCCCTAGGATAAAAAGGGCTGGGGAATCTTGGGGAGGGAGTATGTTGAGGCCAAATATTAAGCTCACATTTCTAATTTTAAAATCTCTGTTGTATGGTTAACAGTACTCTTCACTAAAATCAGTTTAATGATTAAGACACAATCAAGTTGTATTGAAAAAATTGTGAGTTGTCAATTTCAGTCCCAAGGCTGTGGTCAGTAATAACCAAAAAGCAGGATAAGGGGTAGGGGCAGGTGGTCAGTAGGTTGCAGGCATTACAATGTTATGTTATATATTGCATTAGACTCGATATATTTTTCTATGACTTTTCTCCTTCCCCGTTGTGTTATAATGACCACAGTGCAAATCCATGGCTGTATAACCTTTTGAAAATGAGTAATAAGAACGCGATTAGGGCATTTCATTATGTCTGGAATATCAAGAACCTCTCCGAGTAAATAAGTATCATTCTTGAAAAACCGAAACTCAGCTTTACACTCATCATCTGTCATAGAAGCAAGATCGAAGCGACCATACTTCCAATAAGAAAATTCGAGATTTTCAGAAGAATTTAAATCGTACAACAGGGCAAACTCTGTATCATCAATTCTTCCATCTTGATAGGTAAACAATAAAGCTTCCCTTGCCTCTCTGAATGTTGCCATTTATGATGTATAACACCAGCTATAAAACGAAAATGTGTTTAGCGGAGTTTAAAGGATTTGCACAGCTCTGCCTCTGTCGTCGCGTTCGCATCCGTAACTTTGTTTTTCCCGCGCTCGTGACAGCGTTCTCGCCCCGGGCCCTTCTCAGTTTCGGTGTTTTCAAACTGCGTCGCGTTCTGGTTCGTAAAGTCCCTATTAGCTCATGGATGACGTAGTCATGCCATGGGCTTTTGGAGGCACTCGAATGGCACTCGATCACTCACTCACTCGATTCTCATTAATTTATTCATTAAAGTCAAATTAAACACTTTACTGTTACCTCCCTTACTTAGTATTACTTTTGTTCCAAGTGCCTTTTACGCATATGTTTGGCATATTCTAGAGGGTACTAGTAAGGGGTACATTTTTTCCCGACACAAAAGAGTAGCCAGCCGAAGATGAGTTTTGCATAAATGGAAATATTCTAAAGAACACTGACAATATCATCTGCATGGAATGATGGACTTGGAATTGTTAAAAGGACTTTGAAATAATTGAGCGTGGATCATTGTTGTATATTTGGGCGAATTTGTTCCCGATATTACTTGATATGGAGAAGATGCCCGGAGAAGATGGTATCGACAGGAGTATCGAAGCCTGACGATGGGATTTCGTTCAGTGAAGAGCGAATAAGCCAAAGAGCCTTAGCTGCAAAGAAAAGATCCTCGAATTGTAAAGCGACGTTGACCTTCACATGAAGAGCAAATTATTTTACAAGTAAAAGCGTTAAATAAAATGCTGCGCCGATAAGTTTCTAGAATATTCAAGTGCACATGCAATCGGACATTCGACTGTGTCGGGTTTGGATTCCTAAGGTCAGAACACGTACAGATTCGGGCAAGGATAAGCGTGAGTGCTATTCTCTATTTTCCAATTGCCCATAATACACTCTGTTTGCCCCCCAAATTCTGCATAACCATTGTTTTTAAATGCTCCTGGGAGTATTGCATTTTCCCAAGAGCATTTTAAGACAATAAGTTATGCAAAATTTGGGGGTCAAACAGAGTGTATTATGGGCAATTGGAAAATAGTCAATAGAGATGCCAAAAAGTTACCGAAGAAATGCTGACGAAATACGAAATGCTTTTCAAAACCGACACTGTATGCCAAAAAGCAGATGCCAAAAACCACATGCTAAAGAATGTAAACATGATCTATCATTTAACCAACACACAGAGAAAGTCATGAAATATAAAAAAAAAAACTAAGGAGGATCCTTTCCGGAAAGTGAATATGTTACAGTGCCCAAGAAGTTTAAAACAAATGAATTTCAAAACGGAATGTTTCTCAAGCCTTCCTGAGTTACTATAAATACAGAGGTGATAATCTTCAACATTTGGTTGTCAACAATAACGAAATCTAATCACGAAATTCAAGAGCAGTGGCACTTTGCACCCATGCACGTTTACGATTCAATTCATCCATTAGCTCGATCCTGGGAGCCTTCGATATTTAAAGTTAACGGCAATTTGGCAATGGTTTTATTCAGGACTGTGATTCCATGCATGATATAGTGACATTGATTTCCTACACGTCATGCACCGACCTTTGACACCGTCATTAGACGTCGAATAAACGGGTGAGCGAATTCCGCATTGATATCTTCAGCTTTATATTCCGTTTCCTTTGGGTTTAACAATGTGGAGCAAAAGAATTCACGAAATCTTTATTTTGACCGGAAGTTATGTTTTTGCTTCTTCACTGACGGCAAGGAACACAAAGCGTGAACTTGACATGATTATCCTTAGAAATCATGCACTGTGGTCATAAATGACATGATTACCCGTGACCTTGAAAGTCCTTGACATGATTATTGTATAATCTACCGCTAGATGACGTCCCAGGTGCAGATTTCGAAAATTCACTGTACGCTTTCGGCAAAGCAGAAAAGAGATAGTGAGTTGAATGTATAATAATAGTGATAAGTGGTGAAACTTTGTGCTGTTTGATTCCGTACCGGTGACTTCCGTTTTGCCTGTCTCCGTCATGTAAGACATTCCAACATGGCGGAAGGTGAAATTGTGCTCACTTTAAGAAGTATTTGCCCAAAAAGTACAAAAGATCCCGAACAAATAAAGTTGTAGAAAGTTAAAACTATCCTTTAAAGATGACCAAAAGGTTTCCTGGTGAGATTCGTCGCGTACCGCGACATGTTCTGACTTGTTGTTTGGACCAGCCATCCAACCAAATTCAGAAAGGATGTTGGTGTGCTTCCTCAAAAACTCATACATTTTTTGTGAGCAGCGTTGGCGAGCTGTTTTTGGAATAAATGGACTAAAGTAACTTTAGTTTAACTGGATATCCGTAAAGATACTTTAGAACGATCGACTAAATGACTCAATAACGTTGTGAAAGTTGGCAAATCTCAAGATAATTACGACGAAAAAAACCGTAAACAGTTAAAATTAGATTTCTTTCAAACGAAACCTTATTCAGTGAAATAAACCTTGATTTCATATGACTGTATAGTACCTGGGCCTACTTATGTACAAAGTATAGGCGAAATCAAATTTTGAGCTCTGTCCGCCCGATCTTTGATTTTTACCGACATCTTCTCTTAAGCCCTAACTAGCGACTTTAAACTGTTTTCCATTCAGTTTTACAAAGTATGTTCATAGGTTGATTCATTGCCATTCGTTTGTTAAGTGACTCTAATTTGTCACTATTTCTCTTACCTCCATGTACGTCTTCAAGAAGTTCTTCCAAGTTTCCATTTTCTGTATTGAAAATCCCTACAGACCTTCCCATTGCAATAGCTGTCACATACGCATCCGGAGACATATGAATAAGCATGTTGTTATAAACTCCAAAGGAGGCATCATAAATTCCAGTGACGAGCAGGTGTGGGTCCTGTTTCTTACTAAACTCCACTAAATGAAAAACAACAACAACACAACATATAGCTGATTCAATAAAGGTTCCTTTGAGAACTGAGCATTGGAAAGCTATTGTTTGGTGGTCACCCAAGTAAATCATTGCATTGTTCCATACGCCCAAATGCCGAATGTCCAGTTACTTATGACCAACTACCAAAGGAACCTTTTTCGATATAGCTGTATACTCGTGGCACGCTACAGTGGTCATACCATGGAGTGGTTAATAAGCAACTGAAAAATGGATGTTATAAATACAAAACAAAGACGTATCGTACATTACTTGCTTGCACTGACTTTTGGAGGTTCAAATAAGTAGTATAGTAGGCACATAATTATCCTTTTTTGGGCAGAAATCTTATTACCTTGCGTAGAAATACATTAACGCCCATGATGTTATAACCTTTTGTCTTTATCTCATGAATAAAATACGGTGGAATCTCATTAAGATAAGATCATGTGCTATTTTCAATTAGTTTAACCTGTCTGACAGGTTTTCTAGTTACTTTTAGGTCGGTAAATGTCTTGGTTTTCGATTGATTGATTAGAGAATATCTATGAAACGTTTTCATTGGTTAATTCATGGTGTCTGGGGAATAAAGTCGAACATGCTGAGCGGTAACGTAATTATTCACGTTCTATTTTCTGCCACTGTCATTGTCCTAGTTCCGGTTCACTAATTCTTGTGCATATTAATGAAGGCAAGGCAAAGTAGTTCTTTCAGCACGTAAGACAATGTCTTACTTATCCCACACCTCTCCTACTCCTCCACTTTTTATTTACTTTCTTTTTCTAATTTCATTTTTTAGTTTTGTTTTCCCTCCACCGCATCGACTCTGGATCGACTTTTTATTTTGACACAGTTTATTTGTAATGATATCAATCGTGAAGAGTGAAAACTTTACACCACCACCACCACATCCTCCTCATCATTTCCATTGCTTTCCATCCACCTCCACATTTTAATTGTTTTCACTCCTTTTGTTGTTTTTCTACCAGACCGGTTATTAATTTACATGGCCCGCAAGTTATTTTCGCCACTTTTGCCCTGACGTTGGCCTTTTTGACTTTGTTTTGCCTTTTTTGCCCTCTGACAAAAGGTTATGACGTCATTGGCGTTAATAAATTCCTGCCCAAGTTAATGAGATTCCTGCGCATAAAGGGGTAATTCGGTGCCTACAATACTACTCAAATACAATTGAGATCAATCTTTCGACTAGTGTCCAGAGCTTAAATATCATCCAACTTTTCAACACTGCGCCTAAACGTTGCACTGCTGAAGCCAGAATGGATCACAGTGACCAGCATGTTCCCAACGTTGTAATCAGGGGATAAAAATAGTCAGTTAATTGGGAGATCAGTGTTACGTAGACATCTGGTGCATAAATGGTCTTTAAATTTGTCACCTAGGCATCTCCCAGTTTCTCGTATATTGTTTAAGTATGGCATTTGGTGACAGTTAACCGCATTTCGTTGACACATGTATACTTAGATGGTTTTGACCACAATGTGTCCTCTGAGAGTAGCAAAATAGGTCGATATGTTGGTACACAGCAAGTGCTGAATTGAGTCTGGGCAAGGAGGAACATACTCCAGAATTTATAAGCAGCTGTCAGGTTATTATGGGGGCTCCTAATCAGGGAGTCTCATAGGTTTTAATGATGGTGATATACACTTAACATGCGCAGGGTAGAAAAAAGGCTGCTGTGTCAAGGTCATCTCATACGCGGTGCAGGTTTCTTTTGAAAATATGTTGGTAGACTGATAGGTGCATTTTTTTTTTACAAAACTTTGACTTTCATAAATTAATGTATAGTGTATCTCAGATAAATATAAATATAGCCGATAGTAATCGGCGCTAGAGACGTTTTTTCAAATGGCAACTGCTCTTAGTAGACTGCAAAAGTACTTGTAGATCTGATGCAAGGAATATTCACTATCACTACAATTCAAGGGGAAATGATAGTAAATCGATTGTTGACCTTCCTATGTATTGTGTTTTGTGCAACAAAGTCCATGTTTTCTTTCTCCTCCCTTCATTACCGTGTTTACTTAGCCATTCAAACAGGCTTCAGTCCACAGTGAGAGGAGCTGAGTGAGAAGTAAGAGTACCCTTTTGGAGTCACGTTAGTGAAAAAGTTATTACAGGTAATCACACACAACAACAAACCAGTCATACCGACTCACCATCAATGTCCCAAATTTTCCAAGTTCCATCCTTGGATACAGTTGCCATCCTGAAAAAAAAAACACTTCGTACTCAGGGGCTTTACTACTGGCTACAAGCAAAGAAAACAAGAAATCGGAATAAAAAATATTACTGTAGAAACAATGAAGCAGCTGGTCATTACCACTGACTGCAGTCATAATAAGTCATAATAATAAAAACACTTTAATAGTACTATCATCAACTTCCCACATGCAGTGGACAACTTTGAGAACTTCTAGCAAAAACAATTATGAAACAATAACCCCTATGGTGCTTCAAATGAGGCCTGAAAACCACGAAACTTTATTGGATTGACTGAATAAGTGCTCAGTGAAAACATTGACGGTAATAAAACATATCTTGCAGCAAAAAAGGTTTTTTTGGGGAGTGGGTGTAGCCCTGATAGGCTGTGGAAAAGTCTGCATCAGATCCCAAGTGACTCGTGTGTTGACAAGTGCTGCTTCAGGCAGTAAAACACAACGCAGCTAGGTCTCACAAGTATGTAAAGACAGAATTAGATCTAAAAAACATGGTGGGTCCTACACACATGTCATATATAGTTTCCAGGCCCTTATGGTTAAAACCAACTTGCGGGCTCACAACAATATAATATCAACATGCTTCTTTCTCAAATAAAATAAAATAAAATAAAGCAAAAACGAATAACACAGACAAGTTCAGTTCTTTGTCTACGTGTCTCTTTGATAATTAAATATAAGTTCTTTGCAACATGCGCAAATGATCAAGAAACTAAAAGTTGAACTCGTAATCTTTGAACCAGTCAGGTTCCTTCCTTATTCGCTGTTGCCTTGTTGGACTGTCTGCTTGAGACTTGTTCAGTCTGTTGGCATCCTGCAACTTCTCAGTGATCATGTGCTCAAGCAGTTTGTGTGAATTCAACGCAGAAGCAGGTGAGGAGAATTTGTCTGGTGACGTCTCAGGTGTTGTGGGGCGTAGGTGTACTTTGTTTCTCCTATATAAACCATCTCTCCCGTCTATTATGTAGGATCACTCGCTGTGGCTCAGTCCACGCAATGCCTCTTCTCCATTCAGGTCTCCTTCCTTCCTTGTATTGGTAGTAAACTGATTGACTAGGGGGTGAGTCGCTTCAGGTCTCAGGTACCTTTGTTGTAGTTACTCTTAATGGGAAGGCGGCGCTTGGCTCTTTTCATCATAACTTGTTTTTCACTTGGGATGCTCTTGGTTCCTGTAGACGGTAGCAGTGATCGAGTATTTTTGCCAAACATCATTTCGGCAGGGCTTATGCCTGTATCCTGGCGAGGCATGTTTCTCAATTCCCGTAGGGCTTCATATTGATCAGTGCCATCCCGTAGTGCTTTACACATCATCGTTTTGGTAATCTCCACTGTGGCCCTCGCCTTTCCATTTGACTAGTGATGCTCGGGTGATGACGTTGCATGTTGTATTGCCCACTCCGTCGTGAAATTCCTGAACTCTCGTGAGAGAAACCAGGGGCCAGAGTCAGTTACCATCTGTAGGGGCATCCCATATCTCGCATAGTGTCCTTTGAGTTTGGTAATGACTTGCCTAGTCGTTTTGGTTGTGGTGGAAAGGTAATCAACTTCTAAAAATTTTGAGTAGTAGTCAACAGTGACTAGATAATTTCTGTCATTTATTTCAAACAGATCGACGCCAATTTTGCTCCACTGGGTTTCCCCCTCTTTATGTTGTCTCAGTGTCTCTTTCTGATTCCGTGGTTTGTGTAGCTGGCAGGTTTCACAGTTTTCGACCACTTGGCGTATCTCATGTGACATTGCGGGCCAAAATACAGTATCAGGAGTGCATCTCATCAGCCTCTTCTTTGTAATGTCTCTTAGCGACTTTGGGATCACAATTCTTTCTCCCTTCAAAATAACACCGTATTGATGGCTTAGAGTGTCTCTCATGTCAAAACATGGTTTCAGTTCACTGGGTACTTCATTCTTATTGTCAGGCCAGCCATCCCTGATGATACTAAGGAGCTTCTGCATACTTTCATCCTCTGCAGTTGCCTCCCTTACTTCATTAATTCTCTCATCTGACTCTCCTTTTAAGGCATTGACTTTCATCACTCTCACATGGGTATCGAGGACATCAAGATAGGCTCTGCTCAGGGTATCCGCGATGAAAAGCTTGCTTCCCTCCATGTCGTGGAAATCGACATCACATCTATGGAGCAACAGTATTAGTGCTTGCAGTCTTTTAGGAGCTTGGCTGAAGGGCTTATTGAGGATGGCGGCAAGTGGCTTGTGATCATTCTCAATAACAACCTTTCTACCATACTTGTACTGATCAAAGTGTTCTGACCAAATACTACCGCTAATGTCTCTTTCTCAATTTGAGCCCAGTTTTGTTCTGGACTTGTCAGAGCTCACGATGCATATTCGATAGGCTTCCCATCCTGTGGTAGGGCAGCAACCAATCCATCTTTACTACTACCTACTTGCAGGACGAGTTCCTTATCTGGGTTAAAATAAATGAGCAAAGGGCCCTCTGTAATCGTCTTCACTTTAATGAACGCTTCCTCACATTCGGCGGACCAATTCCAGTCCACATTTTTTCTGGTTAGCTCTTGTATTGGCTGTAAATCACTGGCAAGATTTGGGAGGAATTGTACGTCAGTGGGAGCTGGCATGTTGAGGATTGCCTCTACTTTGGACTGGTCTGCCTGTCCTTCTTCAGTGGTTATCATGTGACCCATGAATTTAACCTGTGTTTGTCGTAGGACAGACTTAAGTATTATGTTTCTCTGTGAACACCATTTCTGTAACTCTCGGAGGTTTCATTCATGGTCAGCAGCTGCTTCATCTTTTGTGTTGCCACAACCCATCACTAGCAGGTTGTCTGCAATACAGATAGCGCTGCTGAGGCCACTGAGCGCCTCGTTCAGCTTTCTTTGAAAAATCTCACTGCTAACCTTTAATCCGAAAGGGAGTCGGGTCCAGCAGTACCGGCCAAAAGGGGTGATCATGGTTGTTAAAAGACTAGATTGACTGTCCAGCTGCACATGGCAAAAGGCGTGCTTTACATCAAGTTAACTAAATATCTTGGTATTGTTCAGAGTGGGCAACACATCATTAAAAGTTGGGAGCTTGTAATGCTCCCGTTGGAGAGCTTCATTCAGTGTTTGAGGGTCAATACAGATCCTTAGCGATCCATCTGGTTTCTTGACAACAGCCATCTGGCTTACCCATTCTGTTGGTTCCTCTACAGGTGCCAAAACTCCAATTTCCACTAGTCAGTCCAGTTCATTTTTGGCATCCTCTTGCAATGCAAATGGACAGTTTCCGCAGGGTAATGCTCTTGGTGTAACATTTGAATTAATGTGCAGCTTTGCTTCGCCCAGATTTCCTAACTAACTTGTATCACTGGTCACTTCAGCAATGAAATTCTCTTTGTTGATGGTAAAGAGGAGTCAAATGAGTCAATGAGTCATGAGTCATGAGTCAATGAGTCTATGTATGGCTATGTAGAGCTATGTATATACGCTATGAAGGGTTAGGTATCGCTATGTAGGGCTGTGTATCGCTATGTAGGGCTTGTAGGGCTATGTAGCGCTATGTATGGCTATGTAGGGCTATGTATGGCTATGTAGGGCTGTGTATGGCTATGTAGGACTATGTATGGCTATGTACGGCTATGTAGGGTTATGTATGGCTATGTAGGGTTATGTATGGCTATGTAGGGCTATGTACGGCTATGTTGGGCTATGTATGGCTATGCAGGCTTATGTATTGCTATGTAGGGCTATGTATGGCTATTTATGACAATGTATAGTTACCGTATTTATTCGAATAAGCGCCCAACCTCGAATTAGCGCCCACCTCGAATAAGCGCCCATCCCAAAGGCAGAAAAAAGTTAATAAGCGCCCACCCTCGAATAAGCGCCCACCCCTACTCCTCCCAATAAACTCAAATAAGCGCTCACCCCACCCCACCCACTTGAGTGAGTAAATTCTAATAAGAGACTTCCCCGAGGACGGAGTCTTCTTCAGAGTATTTTACAGAAACCTTGCTTTGTTACTTCTTCGCGTTTTGTTATTAGCATTTATTGTTTTGTTATAAAATAAACATGCTTCACTTGCTGAAAATGGTGAAAATTTAATAAGCGCCCAGCCTCGAATAAGCGCCCACCTCGAATAAGCGCCCACTCTCAAGGTCCAAAAATTTAATAAGCGCCCAGGGCGGTTAATCGAATAAATACGGTATGTATGGCTATGTAGGGCTATGTAGGGTTATGTATAGCTAGGCTATGTATGGTTATGTATGGCCATGTAGGGCTATGTATGGCTATGTAGGGTTATGTATGGCTATGTAGGGCTATGTATGGCTATGTAGGGTTATGTACGGCTATGTATGACTATGTAGGTCTGTGTAGGGTTATGTATTGCTATGTATGGCTATGTAGGGTTATGTACGGCTATGTATGACTATGTAGGTCTATGTAGGGTTATGTATTGCTATGTATGGCTATGTAGGGTTATGTATGGCTATGAAGGGCTACGTATGGCTATGTTCGCTATGTATGGCTATGTAGGCTTATGTATGGCTATGTATGGCAATGTATGGTTATGTATGGCTATGTAGGGCAATCGATGTATGGCTATGTAGGGCTATGGATGGCTATGTAGGGTTAAGTAGGGCAATGTAGGGCTATGTATGGTTGTGTATGGCTATGTAGGGTTATGTACGGCTATGTATGACTATGTAGGTCTATGTAGGGTTATGTATTGCTATGTATGGCTATGTAGGGTTATGTATGGCTATGTATGGCAATGTATGGTTATGTATGGCTATGTAGGGCTATGGATGGCTATGTAGGGTTAGGTAGGGCAATGTAGGGCTATGTATGGCTGTGTATGGCTATGTAGGGTTATGTACGGCTATGTAGGACTGCAGGGTTATGTACGGCTATGTAGGGCTATGTATGGCTATGTAGGGCTGTGTATGGCTGTGTAGGGCTATGAAGGGCTGTGTATGGCTGTGTAGGGTTATGTAGGGCTATGTATGGCTTTGTATGGCTATGTAGGACTCTGTAGGGTTATGTAAGGCTATGTATGGCTATATGTGGTTATGTAGGGCTTTATATAGCCTCCCATGCGGGCGTTTTTAGGGCAGCTCGTTTTTCATCCCTCCCCACAGACGCCTGCTCAACCGGAAACAACATTTCTTTCCCATTGTTTTATTTGCGTGGTAAGTGACCAATAAACAGTTGTGCAATAAAGTGTTGACAGGCTAAACGCGACTAAAACGTGACCCTGCAGTTACTGTTTTCCTTCTTTTCTTTCCTTCGTTAAGATTATGAAGTGCATGGAGTATTCTAAAATTTGATTAAATCTTATTTTTGCCGCTCTGAATCTAGCATTTATTGGAGGTTAGAAAGTTTTTCCAGTGTTTCATGCAGATCGAGTAATTATCAGATTACCTTGCGGTCAAGGTCAACTTTCCAGAATTTGGAAAGTACCATGTGATTGGCTAAGCTTGGGAAAGGAATGTTGTCTTTGATTGAGCAGGCGTTTGTGGGGAGGGGTGAAAAACGAGCTCCCCTAAAAACGCCTGCGTGGAAGGCTAGGCTTTATATTAACTAACGTCAAACCACTATATGATGCTTACACCACGTACTTACCCGTGTATGATGAAGATTCAATGCTGATACACAACTCACCTTGACTCTAATTATGACAAAACATCATGAACAATCCGTCCTAGTCAGGACTTTATTTAGCTGCACAATCATAGTCAATCTTAACTTATGATTTGACTTCTGGGCTCATAAACAGTGAACCCATACTCAAACTCTACATTTCATGATGGTCGAGCTGTCAAAGCATGTCTTTTAATACAATCAAACTTCCACGTGCGACCACCTCCTATAAGCAACCACCTTCCCAAAACACCAAAAATGTTCTCAGTCAAAGCCTTATACTGGAACCTCTCATACATGACCACCTCTTGTAACCGCAACCACCTTACCTTATCAGCTGATAGTTTTTAGAATTTTCGATTGTTTTCAACCTCCGGTAAGCGACCACTTGTCACATGGTCTTACTGAACAGTGAAGTACATTGTAAAAATGGAGAGAAAACAATTTATTCTTTGGTTGTCATAATTGTCTACACATCTATTACTTTGTTTATTAGTTTGATCTATAACTACGATATTAACCATTACACTTGAGAAAAATACCCAGATTTTCAGGTTGCAGTTTAAGAAGTTAAGTTTTTGTTCGTCAGACATTTTAGGCACATTTCTCTACAAGAAGTCACGTACACTTGTAAGTAAAATTTTCTGCAAATGAACTGTCAAATAGAATAGCTCTGATAGCTAATGATTTCTTCACGGAAAAGTCAACTTTCAGTATTTTTTTGAATAAGTAGAACCCTCCATTATAGGTTAAACATTTTGCCCTTGCGGTCTGACAACCACAACTTGTAAGTGACCACCAAGGTTTTGCATTTTGGGTGGTCGCTTATGGGAGGTTCTACTGTATAAAAATGTGGTCATGTTTCTTAATTTTGCAGTTCCTTTGTCAACACCTTAGGTTACAGGTGTAATAAACAACAAAATTATACCAAGTGTGATGAAATAAGAAAAAGATATTAAGTAACACTAAGAAATGCTAGGAAATGCTGGGGGCCTGGATATTTTTCCCAACATTTCTTAGTTGTACTTAATATCTGCTCCACAGTTGTTGTGGCAGGCAACTTACATAGGGTGACCACAAAATAAGCACTAAAATTACCTATACAAAAACTAACTCGGGTTATTTAATTTTAATACCAATTTCAACTGTTTCATTTCACAAAAACCAGTTAAAACATTTGCATCCCACTCCTTTAATTTAACATGGTATAATTCTTAGAACTGTTCATGTACCTTGTTGAATCTGATGAAAAACTAAAGTGATAAACACCTGCAGTATGTCCTTTCAACTCCATTGCTCTTGAAACCTGCCACAAAATAAATATTATAAAAGTTTAAACTTACAGGCAAGAGATGTACTCAATTTCATATCAGTTCCATTGTTTTGAAAACGAGTTTGCTCTTGTCGACCTGTTAGTTTAAACAATGAAAGAAATGAAAAGACATAGATTGTATGGTGTTCTAGACACACCATTGGTCCAACATGATGAGATTTAAAAATGTCATAGACATAATAAACATCAATCTGCAAGTAAATTCTCCTGCAAGAGATACCAAAGACAAAAATACAGGTAGTAAGAGTATTTCCAAGGATACAGCATAATTAGAGATCAACTTGACTAATGAAAAGTAGTAAGGTGTAGCCCAGTAAGCTGTTGATCAAGAGAGGCAAAGAAAACACTTGTTTTACATCCTATACATGTGACATATCGATCAACTGTTGAAATGCAATCACTGTTCTTTCTCTTTTAATATAAATCATACAGAAAAAAAACCTTCACTCTGGGCACTCAACAACTCTATCTTAAGGGTGGCAAAGCTGAAGTTGAATATTAAAATTTGCTTATGATCAGATACAATTACCCATCGCTATTTTCTTAATTCATGTCATCAAAAAATCCAAAGCACTGTCATTTTCTATACTTAATTAACTGTAGCTAGGTCAATACAAAGAGTTTGGATCAGGTACATAATTTAAACTTATTTTGTGAAAAAAAAAAGATTGACCTGCTTGAATTCATCAGACTTTGTAAACTCCACTACCCAAAGTTTCACATCAGGGGTAAAACCTAACATAAAGAAAGAAAACAAAATTACGGATTACTGTAAAATCAGGGAGGAAGCTTTCAGTAGATGAAGAAAAATAAAATAAAATGGAGAAATCCTAGAATAGATACAGTAGATCACACATAACGCAATACAAAGAACATTGAACAAACCCGCAGATGCGACAAATTGGCCACAAGGAGATATACTTGCAAAGCTGTTATTCATCTGATGAGTGTCAATAATGGAGAGCACCTCACCTGTTACATATAAAAAATTAATTTATGAAAACACTATCTACAATTCCTTCATTAGAGAACAAAAACAATCCTATATGTAATAAGTGAAGAAAGAAAAAACTATTCATTTACAAATTCTACAAAATAGAAGTAACTTAACCTTACATAAAAGAAGAGGAAATAGATATAATTAATAATAAAAGTTCAAAATTCTATAAAATTAAGAATTCCATTATGCAGAGATATCAAGATCGTACAATCGAATTATACTAATGACGGCTAAACCAGTGTCCATAAAAAGCCCTAAGTAAAAGCATATAGACACGTTCAGATATCCGCACTAGCGGCATTTATTTTACAGTCTAATGATTGCTCTATCTTGCTACGAAACGGTGTTCGCGAACTAAGTATATATTGGCTGCTGTTCAGCACTAAGCAGTAATATTAGCAAACAGCAAGATTGTGATCACACTGTAATTTTAGAATTTCTAGTACTTCAGATAAACATAAGGCATTTTATCACTCTTAAAGTGGCATTTTATCACTTGTAAAGTGACAACTTGTCCTTAACAAGACAAAACTTGAATGCGTGAGTGATTTTAGCTCACACCCAGGAGTTTTAATAAAAATTGAAGCAACCAAAATGACTAACATTCTCATCTGCTGGGTCAACCATTTATTAAAAGAACAAATGAACAAGAATATGTGTAACTTGTTATAATGTGACTAGACTTTAAGAAAGGTGTGATCTCTGTAATGTTTGACTAAAAAGCTCTCACTACGAAACGTGTTGGAAATCCACCTTCATGTTACCTAATCAGGAATTTGATGCTAATGCTGGCCATATAGACCTGAAGATGATGTGTTTTAATGAAAAGACATACCCTTCAGATTCCATAGGATTATAGTTGTATCACTAGAGCAAGACATGATAAACTTTCCACTGGAGGCCACAGCAATATTTATTATCTCTGCTGAATGCTTGACTGGAAAATCAAATTCCCCAGTAACCCAAGCTCCAGACCCATCTTTCTTCTTGTTCACTTTAAAAACTCGAATTGTGTTTCCATTTGCTAAAGCAGTTATGAAAGCTCTGAAATAAAAAAAATATGATAGCAAGAATTATTGAAGGAACCTGAATTTTTGAAATAATATGGAAATAAATAACAACTAAAGTGATACCTCTATTAAGCAAACACCTTCAGGACCTTCCCAAGTGTCCACTGAATAGAGGTTTGTAAAAATTGCACAATGTTTGTTTACAACTATTAACATTCAGAGGGTACTCTGTACTGTGATAAAGCTCCATGTTGTTAAGGAAGCTATTCAGAGTTCAAGTTCATTACCTTTCATTACCAACCAGATGTCAGTCTAATCTACAGTTTATTGACAGCCAAATGTACTGATTTATCTTTATTAATCAACTACAGTATGCATTCCAAGGATGTAATCCAATACTACTATTATCAATTCAGTCCGGTGTCCAGTTAATAGAGGTCTTTACAAAAAAATGTAATGATACAAATTAGCCATGCAAATACAATTTATTTTAGTGGCCGCATCTACTTAATAGAGGTGTCTGCTGAATAGGGGTTTGTTATAAAGGGAAATATAAGACGATAATTTTGGGACCTGGCTTAGTGCCCGGTTAATAGAGGGTGTCCACTTAATTGGGGGTCCACTTAACAGAGGATTCACTGTACCTTGGTGTACTGCATTTGGTTTAGAGGGGATCAATGTCAGATTAGGTCTGCGGCCAAATTACGGTAAGGTGCACAGTCACAGCATTTCTCAGGGGTGGACCCAGAAAATTCAGAAAGGGGAAAGCAGAACACTTTTTTTTTTTTTACAGTGAAATCTCTACCCAGCTTATTGTAATTAGACTTTGGATTGTGCTGTCAACACGCTGTTAGTGTGTCTGGAATTTAATAACTGCAATCTAGTTGGTGCAGTCTCAAAAGATGTTGAAGTATTGCAGGTATAACTTTGGTGTACGTATGCTGACTCATCAGCAACTGGATAGCATGGGACATAAGAATATTTATTATTATAAAAAGAGCGAAAAAAAAAATAGAAAACAGAAAAAATCGACCCTTGACATAGTACCTTCTACCCCTCGACCAAAAGTCAGACTAATGATAATAAGCTTATGTGTATTGATAGGTAAACTGTCTGTCATTGTATAACCTTTTATGTTTTAGTTTATGCACGCAAAAGATAAACACATAGAAAAACTTGCAAAGAGTAGAATAATATTATTGGTTTTATAAAGTATAGTTCCTTTGCATTATACTTTCATTCAAATGCACGGAGAAATGCAAAACTTGAAAATTAACATATAAAAGTGACAACATTTTTAATTTTGTGACTGGACTAGAAGTGCGTGAACTCTGATGCCTGTTTCAATGCATAAATTGTAAACAATAGTTGCATTTCACCCAGGATTTCAGATCAAAGTTCCACAATACACAGTGACTCGCTACATACTGATAACAACTGAAACAACTGAATAGTATGGAAATTTTAATTTATTTCATTTTTAATACTATCAAATGTGACTGCATGGTCAACATGACAAGAAACGACCGGCAAGACAAAAGGTTGACCGGTCAACTCCCCAATCCATCCAGACATTGTCCAGTGACTGGCCTTATTTGGAGAGCTAGGGGCAAGCAACAACTTTTTTCTCTAACTAGCTTATCAAGAAGCAAATATTGCCTTGAAATTTCTAAAACTAAAAGAGGCTAAAAATTTCTGGATAACCCTTCAATTTAGAGTTTTTCTACCATATTAACTACAATTTTTTGGAGGTCAAGTTTTTCACATTTCCATACCAAAATATTGCAGATCAGAATAATATATAGATTTAGCCTGGGCTAAAAGTGAGGCTCTCCTCAAGTAGATACTTATAAACAAAGAAATAAAATTGTGTAATGCTAAATGGCGATGGCAATGAGAACGGCAACAAAATAAATACCGGTAGATCTCATTAGCAAAAAAACAAATCAACATGCAGCATACTTTTTTCTACATTTCTTTGTTATGGTTTTGCACAAGTAAAATGCAATTTGCCAGACTTAAATGTGAAACTTCCTATAGGAACACATTATTTTTTATGGAGGAATTGTCTTAGGTGCTCACCAAAAATTTTGTTGTTTGTGTTCCTGTTTGCTCTTATTTCACTGCCTCTCATTTTCACCTTGCTGGCATGTCCTAGCTTGCTGCTAGCATTTCTCATGTTCTGACCGTCGCTATGAAATTTTCATGTTTTTCTGTAACGAATTTTAAATCAATCACTCTAGCTCTTTCTATGTCATCCATGTAAATGCAGACATCAAAAATAACATCTAACAGTTGATCTAAAAAGGCTCGCTTTTGTTGCTCTTTTTTCTAAAAGTCCTGGTGGTCATGCAATTTCCCGCCAAAAACACCTCAAGCTGCCTGTGGTGTCATGCCTGTTAACTGAGTTATTTTACATTGGTATGCCTGTGGTGTGGACGGATTCACAGTCAGGTGATGGTCAGGTGATTACCAAAATTTCTCGGATGCATGGATTACCAAATTTCCCTAGTATGGAGCTCCACTCAATTGTGCACTTTGCACGTGCTAGAGCTCCACTATTATCAATTATTAGTATAGAGAGACTTGAGGGCAACTAAACGATTAGCAATGCCAACATGTTTGAAGGAGGTTGATGTCTGTTCTTCGGTGGGTAGCTTAGAGACATGTCAAAAGAAAACTGACCCCTTGCAAACTGCGATTAAGACCAGAGTGGACATTTTCCTGCCCCTAACACCCACTAACAACCCCCTATGGATAACAAATAATTAAAATCTCTTATCAGCACCATGTAGCGTTTGCTTGAGGAGATCTGGTTTCTTTCTGCAGTTTGTGGAATCGCATAGACTATCTGCGCAAGTCTTGTTGCACTAAATACTTAATGCATCCAAAGTAGAACATTTAAGGAACTGTAAACCACGTACAGGATTGAAAGAAGTGAAGTCTCTTGGGGGGATGAAGGCCACTACTCGAACAGATCCCATGTCTGTCTTAAGGCACGTTGATCCAGGGCCTAATTTTGGTCCTACTGTCCTTGCTGATGCAGTTAACAAGGCATTCCCTGTACCCATGAGCACTTTCACCCCTCTGGCCCCGGACACTACATTAGATGTTCCTTACCCCAATTAACCCTTGTTTTTGGAAATCTGCATACTTAAGAAGCTTTCTGCACTGAATTCAGCCAAGTCAGCAGGGCTGGACATGATACCACCTTGGCTGCTAAAGGAAAATGCGGACTTGTCAGCCCTACTTGTTACTGATATCATCAACTATTTGTTTGCGGAGGTCCGACTGCTGCAATCCTTGCACTTGCGGCCAATCTCCCTAACACCTGTACTATCAAAAGTGGCTGAAGAATTTGTGGTCAAACAGTATGTAAAACCTGCTGTTTTTATGAAAGTGGATCCAAGGCAGTTTGGTACTACTCCCGGGTCAAACACCACAGAGGCACTCATCAATGACATATGCATGGAATAGTGCCATGGACCGGAACAGGGCCACTGTGTCATTTGATTTTCAAAAGGCATTTGATCTTGTTGATCGTGGGATATGTATAGGTTCAAAAGCATTGCCTTTTTGACATTCATGAAGCCACCATCTCTTGGATTATCTTGACTTCCTGTGTTGTCAAAAGCAGCAGATGAAACTTGTTCAAGACTGTTTTTCAGAGTGACATGATGTCCCAGCAAGGGTCCTCAAGGCACCAAATTAGGCCCCTGGTTTTTCATTATTATGATCAAAGAACTTGACATCCCAAGTTTTGAACTATGGAAGTACGTTGATGATTCTACCATCTCTGAAACAATACTTAAGGGACAAACAAACAACATCGAGACCGCTGTGGACACCTTTGATTTGTGTGCCGCTTTGGACAAGTTCCAGCTGAATGAGACAAAGTGCAAGGAAATGAAGACTTGTTTTAGTAAGGAGTCTCTCGAACTTGATCTTATTGTTATTAATGACTTAAGCAAATTGATATTGTATCGCACGCTAAGATCCTGGGTGTAAATGTCTCAAGCAAGCCCTGATGGACAAACTTTTAAAAAAACAAAAACAGTAAGCTCAGGAATTTACTTCCCCCACAAAATACCAAATGTTACAACCTCAGAAGTCACACTAGTTCAACCCGATTTTCAAGACTGAGAGATTTCACAAAATGTTTATGAATGTCTTTAACGCACTTAAGGCTTAAGATTTTAGATTCCAAATATTTAAATGTAGCAAGATGTAATTTAGGTCCGGCCACTTCTATGACTGTCTTAGGAATTGAACAGGACTTCGTCAACCAAGTGGCTCGTCTTCCTGAGGGCAAATTGCTTGCACCAAGGGAGCTCATTCACTCCTGGATGCCCCGTCGGTGATTCACAAAGCGGGAATTGGAGTCCCTTATTGGCCATTTACACCATGCTGCTAAGGTAGTTTGGCCAGGGACAGCCTTTCTTCATCGTTTTATTGCTGTGCTGCCTCAGTAACAACGACCAGCCGTATGGATTAACCAGGAGTTTCGTCTTGATCTTCAGTGGTGGCAGCAGTTTCTTTCCTCTTGGCATAGAGTTAGGTTCTGGTTGTATCCTGGCATGTCTGCTGCCACAGACTTGGAGGTCACCTTGGATGTGGCTGGTGTGATTGGCTTTGGTACCTTTTCTTGAGGCCAGTGGTTTTATGGTGCCTGGTCAACTGTGCAGGCCAGGCAATCTATTGCAGACCAAGAACTTTTTTCTGTGGTGATTGCTGCTCACCTTTGGGGATCTTTGTGGGCTAGGAAGCATGTCCTTTTTCGATCAGATAACGAGGCAGTAGTTGCTATTGTCACGACCAGGACCTCAAAGGTTTCAGGTTAAATACACCTTCTCCGTGATCTGCTTCTGGCGGCGCATTGGGGTTTTACTGTCACTGCTTTTCATGTTCCTGGAGTTAAAAACAAAGTTGCTGATGCTTTCTCACGTTTCTGTTGGCAGGAGTTCAAGCAGTTGGCTGCAGAGGCTCATTTTTCCCCTTGCCCAATTCCTCAGCTCCTGCTGGACAGCTTTTAAAATACCTCCTCCCTAAAACAACGGTAATTGCATTTCTTGGCCCAGGGTATGGCTCCTTCCACTTTTTGCCGTCAAGCTGGAAAGCTCCACCCGAATGGCTTGCCTTGGCCTGCACACGACTGGACACTATGTTTGTTTGTTTCATTTATTGCAGATTCAATTCAGTATTCGTCAATTAAAGCATATTTATCTGCAGTTCACTCTTTGCATATAGAACAAGGTTTTCTCTACCCTTTGCTTAATTGTCTGCAGTTTCAATGAGTGTTAAGAGGGGTCAATCTTTCCTAAGGTTCCCCAGCTGCTCGGTGCCTTCGGATTACTGACAGCCTCCTTTTGGTTATTCATCAGGTGTTGGTCCTCAATATTTTTATCATTGCGCATTTTGGGCAGCTTGCATGCTGGATTATTTTGGTTTTCTCTGTGCTGCAGAATTTACAGTCCCCAATTTAGCTAGCTTTTCTCCAGCTATTTATCTATCGGTGGCAGACATATCAGTGGATTCGCTCCAGTTGCCAGCCTGTCTCTTTGTTAGAATAAAAGCTTCAAAAATGGATCTGTTCCGTCAGGGTTGCCACATCCATATTGGTCTGGGAAGGGCACCTCTCTGCACAGTTCAGGCACTGCTGGCTTAACTCTCCTTACAAGGAAATGTCCCTGGCCCCTTGCTCCTATTCGCAAATGGTCAACCTCTGTCATGCTCAATCCTCACTGATTGGCTGCGGTGAATTTTCTCCACTGAGGGGATTGAAGGCAATTTTTCCAAGCAACTTGCAATGGTGTTCAGGCTCTTGGATGTTGGACTAGCAATGCATATCAGCTTTATATCCGGACACCTTCTGAAGCTCTTGTGGGTATCTCTAGTCAGCAAGCTTGACATCCTGTGTCATTGCGTTTGCAGGTCCCATTTGTTATCTGCAGTGCCTTCGACATTGCAGCCAAGTCGAGTACCGTATTGTCTTGGGCGTGCACTGCTGTTAATGGTGTCACTCTCACTGTTTGCTGCATTCCTTTCGTAAGTGTGTTGTCTTGTTTTTCATGCAACTGCTGCAGCTTGGTGCTTGGGGTTGTTGGAGTCGGACGTTCCATTTCACCCCTGTACGCTGGCCCCTCCATTTTTAAGCACCAAAGAGATTCCGGATGGATGGGGGGTCACTCGCAGGGTCGCCATGGATACCTCCTCTTCATGCTAGAGCATTGCTCGGCTCCACCAACTTTGTAGGCACCAATGCCCTAAGCTCATCTATTAGTGATGAGTTTAACAGAACTCGAATAAGTTTAGTATATACTTTATTGCATTTGTAGATCTAGTTTTCGTCTTTTTAATTATGTAATGATTTAATGTGTGTTTTTATTTTATATTTTTTACCATGTAAATATGACGTAATTCAACTTGTGGGTTGTAAAGTTACATAAAGAAACTCTCCATCTATTTAGATATACAAGGTTCATACTACATTAGACAAAAATTTTTCTAGGACATCTTAGGATTTTTCAAGGACAACTTAAGGTTTTCAAGGACTCAGATTTTTTAATAAACCAGCATTTTTTAACCCCCTTTGATCACCCCATTGGCAAGAACACGTCATAGAGTCATTTACGATTTTTACTTCTTTGGCCATTGTTGATTACATTATTTCATACTTCTTTTGGCCACAAGACTTTGGAAAATGAATGAGTGTATGATGACCTGAATTGCATCTGAGGTACAGAAATAGCATTTTAAATAAAGAAACTGAAACTAAATATTGCTCATGCATAAAACTCTTCTAGATACGTTACCCGTGAGTCTTAGAGGTTCTTAAACCGAGGATGAGCCAAATTTTCGACAGCAAAATAATCTAATTTATGAGAAAAAGATGTCTGGCGTATCCAAGGTTGTGAATTTCAAGGACTTTTGAAGACCTAACATAGAAATAAAAAATTCAAGGACCTAAATTGAATTGAAGGACAATTGGTAAAATTAAAGACCATGTCAAGATTTACAAACCATGGAAAAATTTTTTTAAAACAGTTCGAAGCCTTCTGCCACTGATTTTTAATTAAGGATTAACATCAACGTTTGCATTTATGTATAATTTTTTTTATATTTATTTGAAGATAGATAGATAGGTAGATAAATCGTTTATTGTACAAATACTTTCCAGTCGTAAAACTGAATTGCGTATTTCACAAATAACATTAGTTAAAATATAAAACTAATTACAATCATATGAGTATAAACACCTTGTGTGGTAAAGCTAAAAAATATGTATAAAAATCTTACAATAAAGTCGACTTCTTTGAAACTTTAAGAGCTTTATGCGTGACCCTAGGACATAGCATAAACAAAAGAGCATCTGAAATGTTCCGTTTGGGAAAGTGGCAAATTATATAACTTTTGACACCTTAAATTATAGCTGGATTGTTTCCTTGGTGGCAGCAGGTGGTATAACTTATGTCTGGGATTGATAGCAATGGAATTGAACAATTGTCTACATAGTCTGTTGCGTCTATCTTACAGCATTGGCAGGCCTAGGCTGTCATGGCATTCCTGTTATGACATGGCAGGTGAAATTATGGAAAGCGCTCTTTTCTGAATTCTTTCTATATCCTCATTAAGATAAGCTGGGAGTGCGTGATGGAAAACCGGAGCCCAGTATTCTAGTACAGGTCTGATTGTTGTACATTCAAGAGAACAATGAAATACAGGTGCTTATTTGCTTTCTTAATGCAATCTACAATGTGATTGTTCCATTTCAAGTCACTGGATATCGTAACATCTAGCATCTTCGCATAGTTGGTGACAGGAAGCTTGTTTCCGTCTACCTCGAGAGGGGAGAAGTTATGAGAGATCTTCTTAAAGTCGATAACCATCTCCTTGCACTTGTCGCCATTTAGCTGCATCCACTGGGACTAAGACCAGTCCTCCACAGCAGTAACAGCGTGTTGCACATCACCCAGGGAGCCGAGAGGTATGGTTTGGGAGATTGTCGTATCGTCCACATACTTCTATGTGAGAGTGTCAACCTTGAGATCATTGATCATGAGTAAGAAAAGCCAAGGGCCGAGCTTGGTCCCTTGAGGAACTCTGGCGGGGACTGGACCCCACTAAGAAAAGCAGTCTGAGGACAACTTGTCGATTTGTCAAAAAGTCAGTCACCCAGGCTTTGATGCTGTGCGGCACATCGAGGCCATTGATCTTAGTGACTTATGATCGATAAGGTCAAAGGCCTTGCGGTAATCAAATAACACGACCCTGACAGCTGCACCGGTACCGTGTAACCAGTGCTTGTAACCAGTGGTGAAACATCGAGATCGGAGTGAACAGGGTGGAGGATTTAAGGATTCTGTCGTATTGATCATGGTCAATGATCTTCAGCACAGCAGGGCCGACATGGGTCAATACAACAAAATCTCGAGATGGCGGGAGTCATGGAGATGGGGCGCAGCTGCTTGCTAAGATCTTCCACAGGCTTCTGGTTGGGGAGCGGGACGACATCAGCGAACTTCCAGAGCGAAGGTAGTCTTTGCTCTTTATAGCTAGAGTTCAGAATTGCTGTTACTGGTTCGGCAAGAACCTCGATGTACTCACGCAGGAGCCAATTGGAGACACAGTGGGGTCCGGCTGCTTTGCGTGGATTTAGTTGTTTCAGGGCAGCCAGGACTGAAGGCTCCGATAGAGTGAATACATAGGGGTCATCCTTATAAGGTGCAACTGCCTCTAATGGCTGGAAGATTTCCATGGGATCAAGGAAGGCAGAGTTAATTTTAATGATATTATCAATTTCTCAATAATTTATTATTACTGTTATTTCAAATTATCATTTTCAAGTTGAATAATCTTAGTACAACAGTTACACTAGTTAAGAATTTGCTGGTAATTTATTTATGTAACAGGTGTTAGGGTAGACTACAAGTAGTCCCCATTTTTCCTCAGGGATCTGGAGCATGCGACATGCAAGCGTGCGTGAAAATCATCCCATGCGACAAAGGCGAGACGCAGCAGGGAGAACCCTTCACGGCCGAGTATGAAGTTCGTATCCCCTTCCAAACCAATTAAGCGCATCCAATGGGATTCCTTCTCTCAGTGAGCTGTCATTGCTCTTGTCATCGGTAAACTGTGAGGGATATTTATTGCAAGTAAAAGAAAATCCAGATACTAATTTTAATTCTTCACGGCTGTTTTGCGTGAAGAACTTGATAGTGTAAAAAGGGGGGTTTGTAGGCAGCACACGACTTTTACCTCATGCCAAAATATTGCTTGTTCCAATGAATTTTTTTTCGCTGATGGATAAATTATGTTCTAGAAGAAAATGTTTTGACTGAACAAATGTGATTTTTGCCGCTTATTTCATACTGAGAGGTTGTGACACGCATTTTAATTTTCTGCGGTTATTGTTTATGGACGGCATGATTTTCCCTCTGATGCAAGAGCAGTTTCTTTAGCTTTCTTTGACCTCTTTTGAAAAGTAAAGTTCTTCAATGCGGCTAAATAAGGGTTTTAGGTAGTTCAATTTCTCCAGAGATGCCTCCTGGATCTGAATAATTACAAGCGATTTTCTTTTTGTCCGTGAATGTGGCGGTTTCCTGCAATGTTTTGTCACGCTGGGTCCAGCTTGTTAGTGTTTTTAGCAGCATGTTCAATTCTCTCAGATAGTGATGTACAGATTTACAGATCCAAATCTTGAAGAATGGATTGCAGCTTAATTTAACTGAAGCTACATCACTGTGGAAAATTTGCGATGTGACTGAGTCATGATTGCTCTTAAAGCAATGAATTTTAAACTCCAGTTCGTTTTTCTAAGGATAATGTGAGTCTTTGGACTGAAGGACGTAGTTCCTCCCTTGGTGATAACTTTTGAATAGCTTAACAGCCTTGTGACTGTTCTGTTATTGCCACCTTGTGATCATGCAAGACTGACCGTGGTTTCGGTTCTTCACGCGAACCTCATCAGTTGCCGGGTTGGCTTTCTGTGTAGTTGCTCAGTACAAGAGCAACTCAGTACTCTAGTTATTTGTTCTGTGCTGTTATTTGTTCTGCTCTAGTAATTCTTTCTGTAAATTGTGATTTTGTCGAGTGTTGATAGCGGCTGGTGCGTTTTTGAGCCAGTCAGAGTTCTGCGTTGTTCAGAGCAACACATAAGTTCAAAAGCTTGGGCTTTGTCTCTAGTCCCTCATTTTTCTCTCTCACTGCTGCGTCTCACCTTTCTCGCATGGGTTGATTTTCACATGTGCTCATGTTTCGCTCGCTCTACTATCCCTGAGGAAAAATGGGGACTACTTGTAGTCTATAAAAAGGGTTAAGGATAATACACGCTTTAGATTAGCTTTATTTGTAACAAACCTGAAGCGAACTGGTTGTTGTTTCATGTCTTCACTGTTAACAAGGCAAGAACAAAAGATATTAATTTTAAGGATTATTAGAACATTTTACTTTATTCTATTTTAGTCAGCATGATTATAAGGAATTAACCTTGACATTAATTTATGTACAAGATTAAATCTTGTGTGCCTATCATTACTTGGCTGTGTAGCTGCGTGATGCGGTTCCAGTCGAGACCCACAAATTGACCCTTGCTCACCATAGAGTCTCCAGTAGCTCAAGTGGTTAGAGCATCCGACTAGATCACGGAGGGTCGTGGGTTCAAATCCCATCTGGGACTCGGATTTTTTTTCTGAGTCCTCCTCAAATTAATATCATGTTGTTGTTGTTTCATCTTTAAGATTAAATCAAACATATTAATAATAATAATAATAAATGTCTTTATTGCTCATTAGATAAAAATACATATTTAATGTTACAGGATAAAAAGATTAAAAGTTCAGCTCAATTGAAATAGAATAAAGACTAAAACATGTGAAAAACTAGTTACATATATCTGACATAAAATATCATAAAAGGTTGTATTTAAAAATTAATCTATTTACAAATGTGTTCTTATAACATTTGGTGTTTATCTTGGGCCTTTGGCAGCTTTTATGTCTAAGGTTTCAGGTTAAATTGTTCTTTTCTTGTGGTAAACATACCTTCAGAGGGTGGTTATTACACTGTTTAACTTTTTTAAAAATCGCCTTATCTTGTTTTTGTGGTAATGATCTAATATTTAACTGTGTAGATATAAAGCACAACTCATAGCATCTGTCTAAAAATTGCTGAAGAACATTAATTTCCACATCGGAGGCACCATAAACAGAAAGTCTATAGGTTATGTTCGGGAGAACAATACTATAAAAGAAATAATCAATTTCTGTCTGGCTGTAGTGCTCTTTTCTATATACTCTTAGCACGTGTAGACAATTGTTGGCCTTGCACAGTTTAGCTTTTATGTGTGGAAAAAATTTACAGTTATTCTGAAAGGTCAAACCTAATAAAACAAGAGTGGCATGTTGTGGTATACTACATACAACAGGATAGAATGTGGGGTTCCCTTTCTTCTTCAAGGCTGTGCTCTATAGAAAATTGAAGGGAGCCCAGTGCTCTGAAACTGTGAAATCTAGGGTGCCCAGCATATGATTTGTATGAAAAATCTGAGATTTTCTAGTCGCCCAAGGGCAAAATTTAGGCACCATAGGGGCCACCGGGCTCTGCTAGAGCACAGCCCTGTTCTTTATGACAAGTTCTTTACACTTGTTAGGGTTACAGCTCATGGAATTACAGTTCGCACAGATTAAAAATGTCTCCATTAAATCACTTGACGTATCACTGCCCCCTTTCCACATGGGTGTGACAATGGTTGAGTCATCGGTGTATTTAAAAAGGGTGGGAGTGGAACCTACAATCTTGGACAAAATAAAATGGAACAGCAAACCCCCATCCCCCCCAAATCAAGGATGAAGGTGCGTGAAGGGCAAAAACGCGCCATTTTCCCATCCTTGATTTGGGGGGGAGGGAGGGTCTAGGTTTTCCATTCATTTTGTTCCAGATTGTCTCGAAGGTGTCTAAGTCACGAAATAGTGGTCACTGTTAATTAGAGAGTCATCTTTCGACACACTTATCGGTTGAAAACACTGGTCTGTGACCCGCAGTCACAAGTGTCACCGAGGACGTCCATACTTACAATACCCTAAGAGAACATTTTTGCAAATCGTGTCTGGGACGTTAGAAAAAGGCGCTCTTGAACATGGCATTACTCGCAAATCATATAAAGAGTTCTGTAACAGGGTAAAAAGGACCATTAATGTTATTTCTCAGGAGTCACTAGACTGTGGACTTTTTATACCTCGCTGAAATACCAACAACGATGAAAGGCTAAAACTTTACTAATTAAAACTTTTAAACTGTGTGTAGTGCACTCGAACTTTGTTAAAATGACACGGTCGACGTTTCACTGACGGTTTACAAAAGGTTTTTGTGTGATTTAAGATGGTTTGCAGCGGTTTTCAACGGTTAATCATGATTAACAGCCAATTGAAATAAAAGTGACTCACTGTCTCTTACTTTACTGTACCACGACAAAATCGCGAAAAACCAATAAAAACCGTCGGTAATCTGTTGTAAATCGTGCTAATCCTTATGTTCGTCAACATTAATCGTGTTCGATTTCCTAGAATGAAAAAAACCAATCTATATAGATAAAATATCGCTAACAATGATCTATAAAGGCACCGTATACAGTTCTTAAAAATAGCGCCAAGGCAACACTGTCTCTCCATGGATTGTCTAGAGGTCTAGCGTGCAACATCGGCGAGTAGGATTAGCGTACCTGAGGTTTTTTGGGCAGGTGCGAGTCTCGTTTGTAGCCAAATTATTATTTTTTTTCTTACTATAATTATTCCTGCAATTACAAGCCAATGCAATTTCTATATATGTTTTGTGGGGTTCTGCCTTCAAGCTTATTAAAATTATTGCAATGAATCAGGCATAAGTATGTCTTTTTTTCGTCTTCCATGCAGCAGAACTCTCTCCTAGTGAGTAATGCATCCCGCACTTCATACAGACTTATGATAAGTGAATTATTTATTTATTTTATATAAATGAAATAAGCGCAATTCTTCTGTTTTGTATGAGATCACTGACAAATGACCAGGTTTGCTTTGAAAGCATTTAGCTTGAAGCATTTGAACGCAGATTTCTTGTCATGATTGCTATCATGACGCTGTGAGTAACGCCAGTCGAGGCTTTCAGACAATCTTGGACAAAATAAAATGGAACAGCAAACCCCCATCCCCCCCAAATCAAGGATGAAGGTGCGCGAAGGGCAAAAACGCGCCATTTTCCCATCCTTGATTTGGGGGGGAGGGGGGGGTCTAGGTTTTCCATTCATTTTGTCCAAGATTGTAGCTTGATTTCAAGGTCATTCAGACGTAGTGGCCTCTCACACTACCCTGCGTTGTCCCCTTATTTACTCCTTTCCACTCGTGAAGGTGGTTGTTATGGACTATATGTTAAGTTGTTGTCTGTAAAAAAAGAAAACTGTGATACCAGTTGATGATATAGGTATTCAGGGGCAGCAACTTTAGTTTATTAGATAGTAGCTCATGTCTGACTGAGTCGAATGCTTTGCTGAAGTCCATTGCGAATACCTGTACTGCCTCACAGTCTGGATTATGTAAGTGTTTGTTGATAAAGTGCTGGATCGCTAACAGTGCACTAGTGCAATTTCCACTTTCACGGTAAGCAAATTAAGTGGTGCTTGGATTTTCCAGACTGACTTTAACCTTACTGAGCCTGCATCATGTGTTTTTGTATCTCTAGTGCTAGTGGAAAAATTATGCTGAATCTTAGCAGATTTAACCATGTTGCATAGGGACATTTATCTCAGCATGTACTATACTGACAAGGAAGGAAACCTGGATTTTAGACCAGTCCAGTATAAGCACTTTAAGCCCGAATTATTTTCCCAAACATAACTTCAAAATCCAAAACCATGAGGATAAGTCCTCCAAAAAATATTGTGTATAAGCCAGGCAAATAAACAATATTATTATACATTGTACTCATCATCTGTCTTCTCATTGGCTAAGAGCCTCTGTAAGTTGAATGCACAATGTAGGATTGTAGGATTATATTTGCGACGGCAAAATTACTAGATCAAAGTTGGAGATTATATGCCTGTGTTACAAACAGGCAGAGCAGATAATGGATATTCTATTAACAGATGTGTTGTGTAAAGACAACAAAATCTTCTAGCTCTTACCTTGTATCAGGGCTAAATGTAACCTTTGTTCCATGGTCAAAGTCAACATTAGCTCGCACATATCTAAAGGAAGAGAAAATTATATTACTCCACAAATTTCCTTCAAAAAATTGCTGAAATTAAATCAAAAGAATACGACTTTCTATCCAGTGGAAAATGACACTTAAGTTTTCTATTTAAACAATTCCTAACTAAACAAAAAATGGAAACGAAGAAAGAAATGAGTTAAAACAATGGTCTAAAATGACACTGGAACTAAGCATAATTACAGGGTGTTATGAAAAACCATGCAGACATTAATGACCTGCACTTTGACCTGTGGAAATATTTTAGACCAGCCATCTATTTATAGGGGGTTAAGGATATTTATTGTATAACTTGTATGCCAAAATAAAAACTGTACAATAAGAAAATAATGGAATAAGCAAGTAAATTTACTTGGCCTTGCATATTTTCCTTTATCATGTGTGTATTTAGCACTTGGTTATAATTCTGAGGAAAATGTGACGTCAGATAAACTGACTTGACCATATGCTGGTATAGACTTGACTTTTAAACTTTGCTGTGATGGCAGTTTCCATAGAAAAACATACATGTAAGTAAGTAAGGTGATGACTATTCTGAACACCAGAAGCCAGAAGCAAAATACTCTGCAGGCTTTTGTATGTGCAAACATTTATAACCTAACACAGAGCAAATCTGTCATGATTCACATGTGAATTGTACACGGGAAACGAGACTCCAGTATGGTCTCAATTCAGAGATCTCATGAAATGATGTTCTCATTATACACTGCTGTAGTTTAATAACAAAGAAGGGTGTTAGAAACATTCAGTGCTCAGATCACTCCCAAAAAACTCAGATCCTCAGGTGTGTTGAGCACACCTGTTAAACAGTATTTATTTCTAGAGTGGGAAGATTTTTGCTTTGAGGGCAGGGGATCAGCATTGAAATTTAAGTTTGACCAATTTTGAGCTTCGTTCAAATTATATCAAGTTTGAAGAGAATCTGTGCAAGATGTTTCATGGAGGAATAACAGACCTTAAGTAAGTTCCGAAAACAATTAAGCATATATATTCCATGACGTTAGGGAAAAACATGATCGAGCCATGTATTCTGAAATTGTATTTTGGCCTCATACAATCTATCAAGAAAGACATTTCTGCATAATGTGCTTCAGACAGAGTATGAAGAAATTTGACCACTGTATGTTAAATCACCTGTTGGAGTAAAAAGTTTCAGGGCTCGAAATTGAAAAAAAAAGATGAAGTTGCCTTTCGGCGACTAACTGAGAAAAACAAGTAGGTTGAGTATGATTGTCCGGGTGAACGTAGTCCTGAATAAGACGGTTGTTGTTGACAGTGACTGATGTTTCGACAACCTGTGCGGTAGTAATCTTCAGAGTCAAAGTGTCACGTTGATGGTATTAAACTCTGGTTAATGACCTGATTGATCAATTAAGTCGCGATGTTATTGGTTGTCTGTCAGTAGAGCTGTGATGTTATTGGCTATAAAGACTTGTAATGTCACTGGTGGTTGAAACGTTAGTCACTGTCAACAACACCAGTCCTGTTCAGGACTATGTTCACCTGGACGATCATACTCAACCTACTAATGAAATGACTCCTGGGTTCAAACCTTTGACAGTTTTAAGAAAAACAAGTCCCCAGTGAATAAATTTAAGTTGCAAGAAGGTATAGCCCAAAGACAGAAAAGCAAATAGTTTCCCCTTGTTTCCATAGAAAACATAAATAACTTTCTACCAGTCGTGCAAAAAAATTACCACTGAAAAAAAGAAAAGAAACAAGGAAGTGTCTTCTAATTCACTTCCTTGTCTGAATTTTGCTTGCGTAGTTCAAGTTTTCCATATGCAAATAAACTTGAATGGAATATTCTCCAAGAAAAGTCTGGTAATCATGACTCTTTCCTGAGCCAGATTTCCTTAGAAACGAACATAGGAAGCTGTATAGTGAAAAGTTGCGATGAGTGATCCAGTAACAGGTTTCAAATTTTACCTGACATAAGCAAACTGTATTTTGACATGTAGGTGGCATTTTCTATCTTAGTCTTAATGTTAAACTTAGCAATTTCTTATATCAGTTATTTATCTTTATTATTCATTCAAAATATTTCCCTGATTCTGATTGGCTAAAAGCGCATGTTTAATTCACCATAACCAGTTACTGATGACCAAATTTGGAAGAAGTTTGTGTTTAACGAGGAAATGACGTCAAAAATGCAGCGTTTTCACAGGTTAAGGCACCGTTAACCAAGAAGACCTGGGGACGAGGTTGAGTTGTTTTGCTTCTGAACTTGAAAAAATGGTGGACATTTCACTCGTTTTAAGAGTAAGAACTAGGCAAAAAATAGCTAAAAACATGGCAAGAACAGCAAGAAGACAACGTGAATGGCGGCATCTGCTATTTGGAGAATATTTGCGGAGCTGGACAAACCTAAACGTGGACTATAGAAGATGAACTTAACATCGATGGATCGATGGAGGTAAGCATGTTTTACCCATGTTTTTAAACTAAGAATTATTTTGAATGAATAATAAAACAATTATTGAATTCAGCTTTCGTATCATATGAAGAATTATGAAGATCTTGGAGGGTGTTAACACCCTCCTCGATCTCCATAATTCTTCATAAGATACTCAGCCTCATTCATTAATTGTCAATTATTCATGCCTTTCTATTTTTGTTACATGTCTTGCAGGAATACTAAGGGGCTGGCAAAAAACTGAACATCACTGTTTTGTAAAAGATTCAAAGAGATATTTATTTCAAGATAAAATTTCACTTTACGCCTCCAGCAACGGACGTAAATACGTTCACTTCACTAAAAAATACAAAGATGCGATTGGCTGAAATTTATCATTAATTCATTGGTGATTTTTTTTTCGAATAACACGCTTACACACAATACAGTATTAGAAGTGATGCAGGCATAGAAACGCTGATGGTCGGTGCAAATTTCTTTCATACCAACAGTTATTAGTTTGTCTTTCTTTGAGAAATAAATTGTTTTTTTAAAGTCCTGGTTTCTCGAAACACTAAATGAGAGACTCAAATCTCACATCAAGTTTTCTCAGGGCTTCAAGATGCGAGGATCAAGTTTGAGAATCGAGTTGAGACTGTCATGCAAATTTGACTGTCGTGCAAAGTTGTCAAGGAGTGGAAGAAGAAAATGAATTCAAAGAATTAATTTTCCTAGTACGTATATATTTGGTAAACGCTTTACAATTTCAGCACCATATTTAGGCTTTTTTTTGGAAATGAAGAATATGCAGCTTTCATTTTATGCCTTTCCTTCAATAACCTTTAGAAATACCCACAGTAACCACTTCCCAAAAAATCTCTTCAGTGAAATAACTGTTTTACTATACCAACTTTTTCAATTTCTGTGCCATCTCTTAATTTTAGTTCTCTTATATAACGTTACAATAAAGAAAACCTATCACTGCAGAAAATATTTTGTTTTCTTAGTCACCAACCCATGAGTCAATGATCGGTGGGTGAAATATTTTAGCAACAATTAAACATACTCGGTGAAGAGGGCTTCATAATTGTGCCCACCATAGTAGTTGTTGCACTTTCTTATGCTAAATTAATCAAACCTTTCTGAAATCTGAAAAAAGTAAGGGTTTCAAGGTCTTGAAAAACAATAGAAAGAAAGAAACTGCCTAGACAATCAATCTGTGTTTCTCCCAGCAAAGCAAGAGCACATCTTATTAAAATTCAATCGTTTTAATTAAAAAAAAAAAAAATGAACTTGGCATGGTGGTGACTAAAGCAGAATTTTTTGCCCCCAGGGTCAAAATTTTAGTCGTATTGGTGACTGTATCAGTCACAATTTCAAGCCCTGCAGTTTAAATGCTATATTGCCAGATATGTGAAAGAAAGCCGGAATTAAAGTAAAAACTGCCCACTGTTTGAGAGTGACATGTGCCATGAAGCTTTTCGCTTCAGGCACGGAGGAAAAAAATGATTTGAGAAAGGACGGGACACAGGTCCAATGCTTTGTTTAGTTATCAAATAAGCAAAGTTCTGAAATTGCCTTGCTCTAGTGCTATTACAGCTGCTACAACTGGTAAGGACGGAGAAAGTAATCAACCAGCTATCATTCTGCGCTAGTGTTAGTTTGCCTGCATGAGCAAACGAGCAGTGCCAAATACTCTCATCAGGAGTGTTTTTTTGTTGCAACATGAATTTACTATAAATAAGAAAGAGAAATGTAAAAGTGATCTGTATTGTAGTAAGTTGATAAATGGCAATATTGAAATTTTGCTTTTTTACTGTTTTTGATATAAATACACGTGTTTTGACTTCAAAACACAGCGTAAAACTGTGAAAGGTTTCCTGACAAACAGAAAGCACTTAAACGACTGAAAACAGACGAGAACATAGTCATGCTGCCCGCAGACAAGGGACGGGTGACTGTTGTTATGGACAAGACAGACTACAACGACAAAATGGACTCGCTTGTTAACGATAAACAGACCTACGAAGTACTTAAGACAGTGCCCACTATTGTTACTGCCCACATTTTCTGTGCATGTCAAGGTAGTTGCGCGCCTCGGAGAAGAAATGTGCAACACACAGGACACGCGGACTGGTTTTGTCTCCTGTAAGTCTGGGAGGTTCTAGTTATTTCTTGTGGAAAAAATGCGCCGTTTTTCAACAGATGAAAAATAATTTCTATTTACCTTACAAGTCAGTTCTTTGAAAACCAAAGAAGTATGTGCATGTTGCTATTTCTGCCGTATGATCGATGTGACCGAATATTTTATAGTCAAACAAAAGTCAATTCTGAAATATCAAAAGTTATTGCTTCAAGATGTTACGCTTAGAGCGTGGGTATTAAAAAATCCCTTAATAGGCAAGGATCAGTAAATCAGAAGGAAAATAGCTCCAAGTCCTCCACTTAATTGAGAACCTGCAAGTTTACCTTTCACTTGCGTCCTTCGCCTTTTATTGGCTAATCGGCTCTAAATACTTTCCCGAATATTCCTTTAATTTTGTAAGATTTTATGTAATTATTCACCAGAAGATAGATTTAAAGCGTTCGTTTACATACAGATGTCCCTTTTATTGAGAGTCCGAGGCTTTTATTTGTTGAACAAACAAGAAAAAAACTATCACAAGATTGCTTGGATTGCTGAGATCGCAGCTTCACAAATGGTTGCAGACCACAAAGGAAATGCTTCCTCCGTGGAAAAAATCGTAAAAAATTGTTATGCTTTTTACTATTATCATTGTTATTTAAGCATTTTGGCATTACTACGCATTGAAATTACTGACTCATTGGGCAGCTTGTTGCGTAGATAGTATTTCTCAAGGTTCAATTTCACGCCACACATAATCTGGACATTTAGACATAGCTCCCGTTTGGCTGTTTACAAACTAAAGATGGAAGGTAAAATAAAGTATTTCCATTCTAAGACCTTCTTAGGTTTAATAGACACTGTTAAGTCTAAAATTAACATTTAGGAACGAAAACTAGTGAATGATCATGACAGAGAATGCTACAGAAAAAAAATCAAAACGAAATATATAAAATTAATGATCATTATAGCCCAGTCTATACATGACAGTAGATAAACGCATTCGGTACAACTACTTTCGCAGTATTCAGCTTTTTTAAAAGAGAGCTCATGTATGGAACTTGAGTCTATGCAAATCATTTATGTCATATGACACTTGCGGCAAAGCCAGACAGAGATAGCGCAAAGCACAGATATAAGCTCATTGAATGTGTGCAAGTTTAATAACTTACATATTCGATCGAGGTAACCGGTAAAATGATAAAAAACGATAGAAGGTTTACAATCCATTTTACATCTACAGTTAAAAAACTCTTGAGGACATGTACAGGTAAGCAAACGATTGAAGGAGTATCTGTCTATAAAGAGTCCCTGTCGACTATTTTCCACTCATTATAACAGAACAGTGGTTTGTTTACAGCACCAGCCTTGGATCTTTAGTTCGCCATACTACTCTATGTGCACTGGAAGTAATCTTTAATACCTTGAAAATTGCTCTTCTCCAAAAATTTTTGTTAAATTTTTGAGACGGAGAAGCTCCAGTTGAATGAAATAGTATAATCTGTTTTCCTTAGATTCCATGAAATGTCCTGCTTCACTTTCTGTTTTTGCTCTCTTCCATGGGTTGTTGTTCTCTCTGACTGTTAGCCATTTTGGATATCCCAGAATACTCCGCATTGAGTGAAGCAATAGTGCAAACTGACCGGGGAAGGGATGGGAAAAATTGTAAATAACCCCCAAAGCGATTAAATTAAGGTAGAAACCAACCAATTTAACTTCTAAATACGCGTGGTAACCCCTACTTTTTATCTTACCAAACGAAAGTAATAAGCCTACTCAGCAAACTATCAATTTTTGGTTCGGGGAACATGTTGCTTACACTATTTTTAAGGCAAACGCGTGGAGAGGAGTAACTGCTGATAACTTCCCAGTTGTGCCGATATTTCAAAAAAAGATGTATAAAGAGCACTTGCTATGTTATCATTTGTTGCTGATTTTTGAAACCTTGTTAAAATTATCATTGCATTTGTGCCAGTTCACGTGTACACTCTGAAATTTGGGGAAAAAATAACTTTTTATCATATTTCTTAAAAATGCCTATTCAGCATTTTTCTCCACATTGAAGCCCAGTTATCTCTGAAAAATGCAAGGTTACCCCCAGTTTTCTTTTTGGATTTCAATAGCCCCTGATATGATCTACTTGTCTCACATAGTCATTATCTGGGAAAAAATACTTCCCATTAGTGGGCACCGTCCTTAAACGAGACCCGACATCCGCACTGCAACACCAACTTAACAACAAACTGCTTACACTGAAAAAAAAACCGACAAGATCGACTTTCGATGCTACAACAGACTGAGGTGTAGTGTTCCGCAGCCACCCAAGCTGTATGGACTACCAAAACTACACAAACCCAATGGGTCCCCAACCTACCAACTGTCTAAATACTTAACTAACGTACTGAAACCACTGACTGACGAATCTAGACACAAACTACAGTCTACTGAGAACTTTATTGACCCCATTAAGACAATACAGATACCGGACGACCACAAACTAGTGTCCTTTGATGTGAAATTGCTGTTCACCACTATTCCACTTCAACTGGCTCTAGACTGTACTGAGAATGCTAATAAGAACTCCACTGTTGAACTACCACTAACTACAGACGACATTATGGACCTACTCAACCTCTGTTTGACTTCGACGTACTTTCAGTGCAACGGCAAACACTACAAACAGTTACACGGTACAGCTATGGTCTCTCCAGTTTTTGTTGTTGTAGCAGAAATTGTCATGCAAAACATCGAGGAACAAGCCCTAGCTACCTACACGCGAACTGTACCTCTTTGGTTACATTACGTCGACGACTCATTCACGGCCATACGCAAAGATGGAATCGACGATTTTCATGAACACCTTAGTAGACAGAACGCGGACATACAGTTCACCAAGGAGATAGAAGAAAATGGTAAGATACCTTTTCTAGACTGCTTGGTCACTCGTGACAACAACAAACTAAAAACGACTATTTACAGAAAACCGACACATACCAACCAATTACTAGACAAGTCTTCGTACAACCCGACCTCTAACAAGGTTACTACTATCGGGACTCTGATGAGACGAGCGCAACTAGTTTGCGACTCACCTGACAGCCTACAAGACAAGACAGATTATCTTAACAACGTTTTTAGTAAGAACAATTACAACACAGACTTTGTTAGACGGAACACTCACAATAACACTGATTCCCACACTCAGACCAACTCTGGCCCTGTTACGACAGCAACTATATCATACATCAAAGGCTCCTCTGAAACTATTGCACATATATTACAACCTTGCAATATACCTGTTGCACACACACAAACCGATAACCACTTAACGGCGACTGCTTACTAATTTCAAGGACAAAGACAAACCGGAGGACAGACAGGGAGCACCACACAAGATCAAATGCTGCGACTGCCAGGCTTCTTACATTCTTGGTGAAATCGGCAGAAACCTAAGCACGCGACTGACCGAACTCAAACAAGCGACGAGGAATGGTGATGTTAACAATCACATTGCTGAGGACCATTTAAAGACGAAACATCAAATTGACTGGGACTCTGCGACATGTTTAACGTATTCTACAGACTACTATCAACGTCTTACTTTAGAAAGCTGGTTTACTAACTTAGAACAAATGCCACTGAATCATAGCCAACAGTTACCAGCGCCGTACAAACGACATATTGACGAGATCAAGCAAAACTAACTACGAGAGAACAACTGGAGAACTGACAATTTGACTAACAATAGACGACCGTTTAACTGTGACAATAGATGGATCGAAACGCACCAATTACCGATTACGAGTCTTCATAGCCAATAACATCACGGCTTAACTGACAGATGACCAATAACATTGCGATGTAATTGACCAATCAGATCAATAACCAGAGTATAACACCATCAACTGACGTGATACAACTCACTTTGACTTTGAAGATGACTACCGCACAGGTTGTCGAAACGTCAGTTACTGTCAACAACAACAGTCCTATTCAGGACTACGTTCACCCGGACAATCAAACTCAATCTACTTTTGAAAACACAGTGTATTTTCATCTGGTGTTTCATTGGGTATCAAGACTCATCCACCTGACTAAAATAGACCCAAAATAGACATCATGTGAATTTATTGGCTGGTAACTTGATGAATTATTAATGAGTTTGAGAACCCTTTTGCTCTTCTGGTTATAAGCCCCTTTGGATATAGGCCCCTCATTTTAAGAGCCCTACTAAAACCTCTTACAGAGAAAATCTGTATAAGCCCGTTGCAGCTTTTGGTAATTTTTTCATTCATTATGACTGTGTATGACAGATGTACAGTTATCAATAAGAATTATAGACAATTGAACTCACTTGTGCTCCTTTTCTTTAAAATCTTTTACACTCCACAATCTCACAGTTCTGTCTACAAGAACAAAACAATTCCACTCAATATAGATTTAAGTTAACAGTGGGTACGAATTACCAAAGCATAGGCCAATGCCTTGTTCAATATTGAAAGCATTTACTTCTTTGACATTAGACTTAAGTAAACCTAACAGCAGTCAGCATTATAAAATAATTGGTGTGTTGTGTGAAGGCCATTTTCAAGTTGTCCGAAGCCTCAATTTCAAAGCAACGGGAAGTGTGAAATTTACTGATACGAAGTTGATTTTTTATTGTCAAGCAAATAAAACTCATTTTCACAAGAAAGGTTTTACACGTAGCCTTGCTATGCTGGGGAGTGAGATCTTTTGGAACTTGGAAATGGTCTATTCCATGTCTTACATGTTGTACATGTGAAATCACCAATTAGGCAAAGACATAAGTATTGATATAAAGGATATGGATTTCTTCTCGCTAAAAGAAATCATTGTGGTACAAGAAGTAGTTTGATTTTTAAAAATTATTTTTATTTGCGAGACCAAATTAATGCTGAATAAATCAAGCCGTTTCATAAGTGAGATTACCCCTACAGAACAGCTGCATTTTCTCAAATTAGCATGAAGTAATAAATTTTTGATAAAGCTTTCAATTCCACTGGATAAAAAAGAACAATATTCATAGATACGTATTTCAAAACAAGCACCTCAACACTTAAAGTAGAGATAATGTACTTGAGATTTATACAGCAAACTTATAAAAACATTGAAAATAGACATATGTCTTGGAGTCATGATGTTTAAATCAAAACAAAGGATTTATCTTAATTGTAAAGATTCTTCAATTACCAGCACTTTACTTATTACAATCTCTCATAAATTTATGACACGATTATTTTTCTCCAGAGAAAATAAAATTTTTAACTTATACTTAATTGAGAAATATGCCAAATGGAAATAAAGTGAGTTTCTTTTGCTTTTTTGCACAAAAAAGTTAAGAACATAACAAAAATTGTTTACTTGTTCGACAAATTAAAAAACTGGTAAGGATTAAGTCAATTAAGTAAACAATAATAAATGATCCCCAGAGAAGAAGAAAAAAACTTTCCAAGACTGGGCCTGTACACGCAGTTTCTTCCCACACATATGACGTGTCAATTTATTGCACCTTTGTTATCCACTTTCTCTCAGCTTAAAATTGACTAGATGTTTACTAATCAAGGTATATTTCACTCCAACTTGCTCTGTGAACTTTGCCAGTGTTGAACTTTTAAAGCAAAATGGGTTAAATGAGATAGGCTTAAATTTCCTTCGTCAGATTTAGAAAAGTGCATTTTACAAGGAGACTGATTCCGCGAAAAAGATTAGAGTTGAAATTGAGCTTCTCTATCTCGAAATATATATGAGCATAATTTCCCCTTCCCCTGAAACGTTTCCATTTCACTAAACAGTAAAACAAATCAAAGAAACCGTAAAAACTTAATAAGAAAGTAAAGCAAAATGGCTAATAAATAATAAATTGTTTACAGCTACTGAGGTGCGTTTTGTAGATAAAGCCCAAGATAATAATGATGGCTACAGTAAGCTTAATTGTGCGCGCACGTGTCTCGTGCATATAATTACTATATCAGCTGATAATTAAATTTGGTGAGGACCTTGTGAGGTTGAAGCCAGGTACTTTCCATTTAAACTAAACTCCAAATCAAAGATGTGTTCTGTGTGTCCTTTAAGTACAGCATATTGTCTACGGTGGCTTTTCAACTGAAGAACACCCTTTTTCCCTTTGCCACTTTGTTTTGTTTTGTCTTTCCTTTGGCCGTTTTCCTCTGGCTTTAACTCCAGTTCGCCTTGATTTATCTCAGTATTCTGTTCACTTTGCCGTTGACTCTTAAACCCAATATAAAACACAACCGCTAACAATACAGCAGCTATTACACAGGTTACTGCGATCGTCGCCAGTGAAGCGACTTCCACGGCCGCCATCTTTGATTTAACAACAGCCTCGCTCTCATCTTCGCGCGTTTCGCGCGTGAAGAAGCGCGAAACGTTTTACGGCAAAGAAATACGGATGATTTTTTTGGGGGTTTCAAAATGTTGTAAAGGACTTTTTTGGACAGAAATTATCTATGATGTAAATACAAGAACATTAAAATACAAATAAAAATACTTATTTTCGTTTCCCACCTGCTGAAGTTGATATAATATATTTCCCGTTACTACTGAATTCCACTCCTTCTACAAACGCATCATGGCCGGATAAGGAAGCCGCTTGCAGTGGATGTGTGACGCTCGGCATTTTTGTTCCTGATACTTGAATTTTAATGCTTGTCCTCTTCAAAATTCCCGAATCACCGCTTGAAGCCAGAGTGATGCAGTTTGCTAATGGTACCAGAAGATTTTAAAGGCATGAGCCATGAACAAATGTCAACGTACGTAGCAAATGTCTCTTTATCTCTCCAAACTAGCCAAACTAGCGTGGCGTGGAGAGGATGAATTTAATACAACGCTACTGACAACAGGTTGTGAGTAAACTTTACATCCTGGCATTTAGCCAATAGGTTAGAGCGACGCGCGTGATTTGAGGTGTACTTAGTCAATAGTGGAATTGCCACCAGTTAGCAAGAGATGCAGTAGATCGGTATGAACCAACCAGCTAATTAGGTTTACATAACATGCCATTGGAGTGGAAGAAAAACCACATTAATTATTTAGTCTTGTGCGGCCCTAGTTTACAAATAAGCCGAATAAAATGGATTCAGGTGTAGGATTTTTATCAAGTGTAAGATACCTGAGTAGACATTGTCCACAAACTGAAATATGCTTTTTGAATTTTGGCAGTAACATTTAAGTATTTCAGCTATACCGACACATGTTACCAGTTTTTTACAACACGTTGACATTTGGTGGAATTACCATGTATTTTAAATCTCCATTTCGCCGTAAAGAAAAACATTAAGATAAGACAGAAGATATCATTGGTTAATGCACTTTGTAGTTTAGAAACGTACCAGAATATGTATGATGCTCTGATGATAACATCATGAACTGCTGAATTTGCAGCTGCGAATAAAGAGTGATTTTTTCATTTTTTTTTTCTTCCAAGATGTTTGCAAAAAGTGATCGAGAGACTCCCGGGAACATTGGAAAAAATTATACTTAAAATATCTGTGAGCTGTTATGACATTTGTTGATGATGAACAGAGTGGCCATTTTTACCTGCATAGCACGCTCGTCCCTTTGTTTTGTGTGATGTATGACTATATGTTTTTTCAGGTAGCCTGAATTGAAGCTGATTTTTATCAGCTTTTATGCATTTTTTCATTACTCGGCCGCGCCTTGCTCGCAGGAATTTTATTTACCAAGCGAAACGACAATAAAGGCTGATCTCAGGTTATATTTCAGGAAGTAGATGAATTAGTATCTCCACATATGATGATTAATTTTAATACATTTAAAAACCATTGATCCATTTTAATATTCATTGATGTCGATTTTGAATCAAACATGAATTTGAACCACCATACGTGGCATAAAGCCTTTCTCAGGCGCCTATTATTAAAAACTGAGCGAGCCAGGAAACTCGGTTGTCTTCAGTAGGCTTTGTTCCCATGGCCAGTACGAAGTGACGAATGTTTGACCGGTGAAAATTCATGCTTTAGTGTTCCATTTACACGGAAAAATGTTACTATACGTGAGCCCTCACCACTCAAAATATTTAAATGACAAAATTGGGAAAAAGCTGTTGCTGGTATAGTCCAAACTTTAACCAGCGTTATGTGAAGTACTAATACATCCGAGGAAGGCGTGGTTCCACGATTGCGTGGTAAATCAGCTGAAGATGTACATAGCTTTGATCTCTGATTCGCACCCAGGTCTCATCTGGACATGATTTGCGTAACGCTTTACTCAGTGCCGTAGCAAGGTTAGATTTATTGGGGGGGGGCGCAATCAGGAGCGCCGAAGGGGCGAGCTGCTAGGGTAGTCCGGGGGTATGCTCCACCTGAAGATTTTAAAATATAAGGTCTTTGAAATAGCATTTTCAGCCTTCCGAGAGCATTAATTTCCAGTAATTTTTAACTGTAATTTCTTTGTTGAAGCCATAAAAAAATAAAAAACACGCTTTAGCGAACCGAAATAAACCCAGTGAACCGTAGAGCAGCATCAAGAGCATGGCCGCTGACCAAATTAAACGTGCCTGTCAAACTATTGGGGGGACCCAGGCCCCCCCGGCCCCTCCCCACGCTACAGTACTGTTTCAAAACCAGGTATTCCATTTCAAGACTGGCAAAAATATTAAATACATCAACACAGTACCAAGCTTTTCGCGAAAGTCCACTTTTCAGCATAAAATATCCAAATCTGGCCATTTAATGTAAAATCAGGTAAAAAAAATAGGCAAAAGGCAATTTGCAGGTTTTTGATTTAACGGTTACCCCGGCTTCTGTGTGAGAGAAACACCCGGACACAATGTTTTTTTACTTTTCGGCAGGTCGAAAAATTGTCCGCTACCGCACGAACTTAGCCTAGACTCGGATTTTCTCATAGTTGTTGCATTAATTATTCCATTCATTGTATTGTTACTAGAAGGATGCGGTCGTTAGTTAATACATTTAGTAGAGGAGACTGGTTAGGAAACCCGGCAAACATCAAAGTTGAAAATAATGGTGCTGTAGGTTATGTTGGAAGCTCCCTGACCGTGAACAATCCTTTCTTTTTCTGTTCATAAATTATGACTGAATAAATTAATGCAATGTCTCTATTGGTCAATAATTCCAAAATGATAGGAATGCTATTGAACGTTGTGCACGGTCAGGTCAAAAAAAGCTAACAAAAACCTAGGGTTTAATTAACTATGTTCAGTAGAATGCTTGAGTGAAAGACAAACAGTTTAGAGAGATTTAGGTATTAAATTAATATTTCTTTCAGCTTAAATAGCTACATTTATTTTTGAAGAAGCTTGCACTTCTTTTGCTGGTTAGACTCACTTTTGTTGTTATTTCCCAGAAAACGGTTAACCTGATTCTTTACAAGCCCCGTGGCCGGAGTTTCTTTCAGGTATCCTCGCCATCTGTTTCCCCTTATGTTTCTTTATAATTCAACTTTATTGATATGATGTGTGATATGGTGTAGAAATATGAATGAGTGAATTTTTTCCGCAGAATCGGACTACACCCTCATATTAGGAAATCAAAAGGTGGCTTTTCTGGCTGAAGCCCTCGTTTCTCGATCCTTCCGCGCTAGTTACTCCATCGCGTTTGTTGCCCAACTTACTTTTAAGAAAAATAGGAAATCGTACTAAGATAAAAAAATATTTTCCTGAAGCTTTAGACTTCCAAAAAAAAGGTAACCAAGTGATTATCGAATTTATGACGTCATTAAACATTTCACTTCAGCAGCGCGCGCGAAATTTCCAACTCTGCACGTGCAAGCCGAAGCAAGATGTCTCCCACTACAAGAAAACGCGCTAACCGTCAAGATTATGTTCCAAGCGTTATTGAGGCAGTTAAAATGTTAGCTAAAGGAAATGGCCATGGAGCGTCAAGGCAAACTATTGTTAAATACGTGGAGGGAAGGATGGAGAAAGGAACAAAGGTTATAACTTCGCAGATAGTAAAGTCGGCAATTATGAGGGCTTTGAATTCTGGTTTGTTAGTTCATTCTAGCGGAGTTGGGTTAAATGGCTCATTTATGATACCTGAGAAGTCAGTAAATGGATCAAGAGGAACTTGTCTGGACAAGCAAAAGCCTATCATGACAAAAGAAGCAAAGTTGCGGAACATTTCATCCCTTGCGGGCGAATTTCCATGCGGGCCAGATCATCCTCATGTTACTGATAGCACCGTTGAGACTGTGACTACGAAACCACGGCGTAATTCTAAAATTTTAGTACCGTTCGTCGACGCTAAGTCATTACATCAAGATCAGCTTGAAAAGGAAGGCGGGCAAAAATCCAGTGGCCTGAAGGCGATCTTGAAAACACCAACTCAAAGGAAGTTTGCCGCGAAACGGAAACAAAAGAGGGCGGGAAGAAAGGTGAAGTTTTGTTCTCCTCCAAGCGTCTTTTTGATTTCACCATGCATCAAAAGAAGATCAAAGAGAAAGAAGTAAAGTCATCATTTCCTGCCTGTGATCGTCCTCGTTTTCGGTTTACATTACGGATTTGAAGTTGAGTTTCTTCACTGCATACTATACTGTGTGGACTTGTTCACACGCAAGCCACTACTGCCGCCCGGCTGTATGCCTCGCTGATGTTGTGTTGACGTGCTACCGTAACCATAACTGCCCGTTTAATCAGTTTAATCAAGAATCAGCTGATCTATTCATGAAGGAAATTCCAACTTTAAAAAAGGAAGCAGTCTGTAGTTGAGTTTGAAATGCAAAGTATGTTGATGTTTAAAACACTTTGTTAGTTAATTGTTAAATAAGCGTCCACTCTAGAAACCCTTTAAGTGCCAGTTCTCCAGACTGGTCTTCATACTTGCCCTCCTCAAATTCACGGAGAGAATTTATTAAAAGATCAAAGCATTTTCCCTTTGGTGATCATTTGATGGATACTCATAACCTTTTCTTTTCATCATGTGTGATACTGATAGAAGAACATGTATGTTGGTCACCATTGGGGGGTTAAATGCTCTGAGAGCTGATCATTGTCATGTAAAAAACAAGGAGGTAACTGTTAGACAACTACTGAAGTACACCAGAATCTCAAAGAGTGGTGGGGACAGTGGGCTCATGTTAAGCTCACTCCATGAGTTTGAAGTAGAAACTGCAAATAACAGTGGTCAGAGGGACCCCAGCAGGTTTCTTAAGTCGGCTCATCCTGTCATTGTCATCATCCTTAGTGGTTTGAGCATGCTGCATCCTGGCATATTTTCAATCCCAAGTCATGTCTTCATTTTGCTTTAAAATGCCGAATCCCAGTCTTCAATAGGGCAAATCCGAGATTCTAAGAACTTTTTACAGACCCTTGGTCATTTTGCATTAAAACTATTCAAAGTGCAGTCACTTAAAATGTCACCCACTAAACAGTTGAAGTATCACCCCTGTCACTTTAAGGTGGCTCGATACAGTTTGTCAGGGTCAATACCTCCCAAGTTTTAGCGTAAACTACGATGCCATAAACAAAGATTTGGAAAAATTAACACCACAGTTGTATTAGATAAAGATGAAAATTTGTTATGATCAGGGTTACAATGAGATCGGAGTTGTCATAGCAACGAAATGACGCCATTACCTATTTTACTTGCAGCAGTATTTCTCAGCACTGGGAACTGTTCTTCCAAAATCGTTTACTGGAGCTTTTACCTACGATAGCTGCCTCGATGTTCATGAAGTTTAAAAAGAAATCTGTAAGGCGTTATCGAGATATTCTGGGATGAAGTTTTCTGGTTAGAAATCACGGTAAAAATTGACAATCTTGATGTTGGACTGTTATCTGTACTAAACGAAGCGCTTTTGACATGCAACTTCACCTCATAGTAGTTTCAATCTTTTTAAAAACGTGTGTGAAAGATCATGGAGATACCTCCAGCGGATTGCTAGAAAGAAGGATTTGATTAGTACGTATAGGGGCGCTCTTGTTAGCCGTAATGTAAACATTTCGGTCTACTTTAACAAATTAGCGAATAATTTTTAAACCGCTCGACAAATTTTCTAAAAAATTTACAAGTGTTGAGATAAACCGTCCTTTTATTTGACCTCTTAGTTTCAAGATTATTGATATATTGTAAGGTAGTAAAATAAGGGCTACAATTCGCTAATATTTTGTCAGAAATTTTGTCTTTACAAGTGTGAGCCTCTTATTATTCAGGGGTATTGTCTCAAAGTTTCATTTTCACGTGAACAGCAGTAACTAACAATGCATTTGACATATGCAAAACTGCTAGCTATTGTTGTGCACGAAAATATGAAACTTGGAGACAATAGCCCTGAATAATGAGAGGCTTTCACTTGTAAACACAAAATTTCTGACAAAATGTTAGCGAATTCAAGCCCTTATTTTACTGCCTTACAATATATCAATAATCTTGAAACTAAGAGGTCATATAAAAGGAGGGTTAACCTCAAGACTCTTAAATTTTCTAAAAAATTTATCGAGCAGTTTAAAAATTATTCGCTAATTTGTTAAAGTAGACTGAAATGTTTACATTACCGCTAACAAGAGCGCCTTGATACGTACTAATCAAATCCTCCTTTCTAGCAATCGGCTGGAGGTATCTCCATGATCTTTCACACACGTTTTTAAAAAGATTCAAACTACTATGAGGTGAAATTGCATGTCAAAAGCGCTTCGTTTAGTACAGATAACAGTCTAACATCAAGATTGTCAATTTTTTACCGTATTTCTAACCAGAAAAACTTCATCCCAGGATATCTTGATAACGCTCTTACAGATTTCGCTTAAATTTCACGAAGATCGAGGCAGCTATTGTAGGTAAAAGCTCCAGTAAACGATTTTGGAAGAACAGTTCCCAGTGCCGAGAAATACTGCTGCAAGTAAAATAGGTAATGGCGTCATTTCGTTGCTATGACAACTCCGATGTCATTGCAACCCTGATTATAACCAATTTTTTTCTTTATCTAATACAACTGTGGTGTCAATTTTTCCAAATCCTTGTTTATGGCGACGCAGTTTACGCTCAAACTTGGGAGGTATTGACCTTGAAAAACTATATCGAGCCACCGTAAGTTGGAAAAAGCACTCCTGGCATTGAATCTGGAATATTAAGAGGTAGTGCACGTGGAAAAACCATTTCCTTTGTAAGAAATGTTTAAAAAAATTACCCACTTTTAGTCAAGGATAAAATGGAAACAGTTGGATCAAAGAGGATCGAATTATGGAAGTCTTAGTAGTATTCAGGAGGCACAAGATGAGCTTAATTTTATCATGATCTTGAAACATCTGAGGTTCTTATTACCTGGCCCCAGATGTTCAAAAGCTGGATAGTGCTATCCATCAGATAAATCTCTATCCAGTGGATAAGTATTAGGGAAACCAATTGTTTTATACACTGGATAGAGATTTTTATTGAGGTATACAGTGGATAAATGCTATCCACCATTTGAACAACTGGAGCTTGGTTTTCACAGCTTCATAGAGCACCACGATTCATCTGTCAGGTTTTTTTCTCCTACAAATAAACAGTACCTATATGGCTCATGTAAGGGGCTACCCCCCCCCCCGCCACTAACGTCCCTAGAGATCATTATTACTTTACTAGATAAAAATAGTTGACCTCAAAGTTAGGGTAACTGAATAGTGAGCAAGACTGACAAGTCTGCTTTGTTGCTGTTACAGAGTACCGTAAAATTCCGAAAATAAGCCCCTTCAAATATAAGCCCCCCAAAATCATAGTGGAAGAAACCCTCTGTTTAATTCCCCCTCCGAATATAAGCTCGCCAGGGGGGCTTGTACTTGGAATTTGCCCTCCAATACAAAGTAAAACAAAGCAAAAATGGTAAATTTTCTTCCCACTACAAGCTAGCCCAATCGATTTTGAAACACGAATTTCCCTCCCTACATAAGCCCCTCCAAAAATAAGCCTCTCAAAAAAGGCCTTTGAAAAACATAAGCCCCAGGGGTTACTTTTGGAATTTTACGGTATTATGTCTAACAACTTAATAATAAGTGTTTCTTGAAAAGATGTGAATAAAGGTATAATCCTTATTAGTCAAACAAATGCCTGTCTTTAGCTTTTATTGTAATTATAATCTTACCGTCTAAATTTTTAATCAGTGAAAAAGAGACTATTAAATTATCTTTATTTTTAATCCACCAAGAGCACTTGGCTGTTAATTAATAAATTAATAGTTTAACAAGTAAAACCTTCCATCTTATCTTTACTATAATTGAATTTTTCCAGCTGGGATTCCACAAAATGGTGAATTCCTTTGAATTGATGCTTTTTAACTTTAGGCCTTATACCCTGACAGCAGAGGTTTCTTCTTAACGTCATTTTTCGCATGTACAAATTACTTTTTTGTGCCATATGAATATTAATAGTGCAAATAACTTTGTACATGCTGCTAATAACCATGACAGAAAAAGACTTCTGCTAGGAAGGAGGAGGAGGAGGCCCTTCTAACAACTACATCAAAGATGAACAAAAAAAAAATGAAAAAAATGAAAATTTCCCAAAATCTGCTGGGATTTGGATGTAATTTTCCTGTGATGATTCAACTGATTGAATTCTGTAGTAAATTCATTAATTACAGGCATTATACGATAATCCTCCCCTTTCTCCCCCTCCCCCATGTAGTATCCCTATAATGACCTACAAGGAGAGGCCCTGCCCAAAACAGGGACCTTTTTCCGGCGTCGGCTGTATAAAAGGGTAGGGATTGCACTAGGCATTCAATACATCGTAACACCTACAAGCCTGGTTCAGTAAAACATTATTAACAAGATGCATGTAACATTTCACTGGTTCACAGAATAGAGAAATTTATAAGCATTCTTATTTAGGAATGCAGTCGATTGAGTGCACGCTAAATAAGTACGCACTTCAACTACGTGGTTATGCTTAACTGCATGGCCATCAAGAAAGAAAAAAATCGCTTGAGTTTACGATATAAATAAAGTAGAATAGGAGAATTTCAATACCAGAAAGTAGAGGAACTTTAGTTATGTTTAATAAACTAGCAGGAAGGTTTTATTGGCATAAAACCAGACCCGCGAGTTTATTGAACGACTTCAAAAATATTCCTGGAAAAGTGTGTTTCAATGGAGTTGATAACAATGACGCTTTTATGAACGCGAAGGTTCGCGAAGGTTCGTGAACCCTAACCCTATTTAAGGACTAAGAAAGCGAAAACTGATACCCTTTTTAAGGCCCAAAGCTGAAAAATGACACCCTATTCAAGGAAAAAAACAAAATTATTAATAGCATGAAAAGGAAAACTTTATTTCTTCTCTGTAACATGGGATGTATAGCATCAAGCATAAAATGCTAGAATAAGCCTAGTTTAATAATATGCAATCATAACCGGTGGGTGTTTTCATACTCCAGCATAAGATAATACAATTAAGCTACCCTATCTAAAGACCACACCAGGGACACAGGAACAAAAGGGTCAAAAAAGATACCCTATTTAAGGACCGAGAACGTCAAAAACCATACCCTTTTCCGCGGCACGTACCTATATAGCCCATATATGGGAGTACCCCCCCCCCCCGGCCCGGGGAAATTAGCATACGAAAAAAACATTCTGTATGAAATTATTATGTAAGAAAATCAAATCTCACACGTGTTTAGAAATTTTCCAGTCTAGGAATGACACTAACCGAAGAGGACATAGAGTCTTGTTCCAGAGCTTTTTGGAAGCCTAAAAATGCCAAGGAAGAGAGGAAGTTAACTAAAAATGGTACCCCAAAGTCAACTATTCCACTGAAAAATTTTTCTGCAATGGCCGAATGCTAGGTAAAAAAAAAATCCTGCAGTACTCGAGACCTGCGTTTTCACAACCGGCAAGTCTTGAGTGCAACGCTGGAACACTGCTATAGGCAATATTACCGCTGTGTCACTGAACTTTTGGCTGATTAAATTGGTGAAAGAACAAAGTTTAATTTTCTGCAATATTTACTGCGTGTTATTTAGAAAGAACATTAAATATTCACCCACCATTTGTTGTGTCAGTTGCTGCGCTGATAATAATATTAATATTCATAGGTCACGTGCTCATTATAGGCCTGAGTAGGGACCATACGAAAGTAAAACGGCGACGACAACCAGAACGTCAAAAAGTAAAAGGTTTAGTGAGCAAAAAAGAAACAAAAGAAATAAACTCCGCACAACACGTGTTAGTGTATCACACTTTCTATAATGTTTATTTGCCTTCATTGAACAACTACGACGTGAAGTGAGACTTATGGTTTAGTGTGTCTTTCGGAGCTTAGAGGTGGTGCCCGGTTTTTGACCTAAATCTAACAGGCTGAACGAGTTGGGATGATCGCGAAAAAGTTTCAAAATACCGGAAATCAATTTTTCTGGGGTGTTTTCACTGGTGTTGCTGTTGTCAGATCATGAAGTCCCTAGCAACCACCCCGGGCGCTAATTCGAGCATCTACTATATTTCCCTGGAGATACATGCAATTGGCTGATTAGTGATCATGTGGCCATATAAAATTCAGCAATTCTCTGCCTTAAAAGTTGTCTTCTGTTTATTTTTCTTTCTGTGACTGTATAATATTCAGCAAAACAATACTATTTCTGTACAAATCACTCATTAACAATATAATAATTAAATTTGTCAGCATTGAAATTTGTGTCCTTAATTAAGTATACTTTATTCCTTACAAACAACAAGTCATTTACAACCCCTAACCAGGTCTATTTTGTGACAAAACTAATGTCCAAACTCTGTTGTAAGTAGTGTTACGAAAAATATGTTAAGCTGTTGTTACCAATATTAATTAGTTGTTGTGACCAATTAAATGCATCTGACCTCTAACACCATAAAACCTGTCCCCCCTGATCTGCCACCATACCACCAGGCTAAAGTAAAACAACGTAGAACCAGGGTCTGATAAATATTCCGTGACACACATCCATCACCTATTGGTATCTGCTTCAGAGCTGATATCTCTGTCCAAGGTGACGTTCAAAAACCTGGAATTGCAATTACTTTGGTTATGCGCGACACGTATATCACCTATTGTCATCTGCCAGGTTGGTGTTATAAAACGTAGATTTGGAGTCTTTGTTTAATATTGCGTGACATTTGTCACATACAGGATGAGGTCTTTTTGAGCTGCTTCCTAACGCTGATTTAGATGTACATGGTTCACAAAATACTTTCCCACAATGATGGCAGTGATGCTGTGCAAAAAATGCAGAAAAAACAATTAAAAAATAGATTTATTAAACCCCCAAAACCCATCGGAAGTTTTTTTCTCTGTGAAAGGATTGAACCCAGGAGACATTTCCCGGGGGGAGGGGGGACCACTTGGGTATTTTTTGGGTGGGTATGTGCCGCCCGGGACTCCAAATTGGCACCCCGTTCTAAAACAAATTTCCCCTAAAATTGATACCCCACTCTGGAATTCGCCCTAAAACTGATACCCCGTTCTAAAAATGGGCCAATTTTTTATACTCCGTTCTAGAAAGTTTGTAAATTGAAATAGCCCTGTTTGTTTAAAAAGATATTTCTTTATTTGTGCGACTTATACATCGAATAAATGCTTCTTCATAATCAGCAACAATTAAATAAATAATTTCAAATGGCTGCTTACAAAACTGGAGCTTTCGTGCGTTCGAAATATTATACCCCGTTCTAGAAAACGCCTTTGAAATGGATACCCCGTTACTAAATCAGGAGCTTCAAAATCACGACCCCGTGAGGCGGCACATACCCGTATAGGTAATGTATGGGAGTAGCCCCCCCCCCCGGGGACATTTCAACTGACAAGACTGTAAGATACAAAAAACGCTAAACGACGTAAACCCGACGCAAACTGGGTCACGAATATTTTTTCCCGTCCCTTAGACGAGACTGAAACACAAGTACTTTCTTACGGACTTAAAAACACTCAGTCACACCTAAACAAATACCTACTGAGGCTATTGTATCTAGGGTTGAGGCCGTTCTGTCTCGCCAACATGAGCTATCAGAATCGACCAAGGATAACATCAGAGGTAGAGTGACCTCTACTTTACAATCAGCCTCATTACCGAACAGTAACTTGACTCCTGACGAACAGAAAGCACTTAAACGACTGAAAACATACGACAACATAGTCATACTACCCGCAGACAAGGGACGGGTGACTGTTGTTATGGACAAGACAGACTACAACGACAAAATGGACTCGCTTGTTAACGACAAACAGACCTACGAAGTACTTAAACGAGACCCGACAACCGCACTGCAACGCAAACTTAACGACAAACTGCTTACACTGAAGAAAACCGACATGATCGACTTTCGACGCTACAGCAGACTGAGGTGTAGTGTTCCGCAGCCAAACCTAACATACCTATGCGGCCCATAGTTTCTTTCTGTGGGTCCCCGACCTACCAACTGTCTAAATGCTTAACTAACGTACTGAAACCCCCGGCTGAAACTGCCGACTGACGAATCTAGACACAAAAACTACAGTCTACTGAGAACTTTATTGACTACCACTACCAACAGACGACATTATTGACCTACTCAACCTCTTTGACTTCGACGTACTTTCAGTAAAACGGCAAACACTACAAACAGTTACACGGTACAGCTATGGTCTCTCCAGTTTCTGTAGTTGTAGCGGAAATTATCATCTAAAACATCGAGGAACAAGCCCTAGCTACCTAAACACGAACTGTACCTCTTTGGTTACGTTACGTTGACGACACATTCACCGCCGTACACAAAGACGGAATCGACGATTTTCACGAACACCTTAACAGACAGAACGCGGACAAACAGTTCACCAAGGAGATCGAAGAGAATGGTGAGATACGTTTTCTAGACTGCTTGGTCACTCGCGACAACAACAAACTAAAAACGACTATTTACAAAAAACCGACACATACCGACCAATTACTAGACCAGTCTTCGTACAACCCGACCTCTAACAAGGTTACTACTATCGGGACTTTGACGAGACGAGCGCAACTAGTTTGCGACTCACCTTACAGCCTACAAGACGAGACTGATTATCTTAACAATGTTTTTAGTAAGAACAATTATAACACGGACTTTGTTAGACGGAACACTCACAGTAACACTGATTCCAACACTCACACCAACTCTGGCCCGTACATCAGAGGAACATCTGAAACTATTACACGTATATTACAACCTTACAATATAGGTGTTGCACACAAACCGATAACCACTTTACGGCTTACTAATGTCAAGGACAAAGGCAAACCGGAGGACAGACAGGGAGCAGTATACGAGAGCAAATGCTGCGACTGCCAGGCTTCTTACATTGGTGAAACCGGCAGAAATCTAAGCACGCGACTGACCGAACTCAAACAAGCGACGAGGAATGGTGACGTCAACAATCACATTGCTGAGCACCATTTACAGACGAAAGATCGAATTGACTGGGGCTCTGCGGCACGTATAACGTATTCTACAGACTACTATCAATGTCTTACTTTAGAAAGCTGGTTTACTAACTTAGAACAAATGCCACTGAATCGTAGCCAACAGTTACCAGCGGCGTACAAACGACATATTGACGAGATCAAGCAAAACTAACTACGAGAGAACGACTGGAGAACTGACAATTTGACTAATAATAGACGACTGTTTAACTGTGACAATAGATGGATCGAAACGCACCAATTACTGATTACGAGTCTTCATATCCAATAACATCACGGCTTAACTGACATACGACCAATAATATTGCGACGTAACTGACCAATCAGATCAATAACCAGAGTATAATACCATCAACTGACGTGATACAACTCACTTTGACTCTGAAGATGACTACCGCACAGGTTGTCGAAACGTCAGTCACTGTCAACAACAACAGTCCTATTCAGGAGTACGTTCACCCGGACGATCAAACTCAACCTACTTTTTTTCTCTCTGTTACAATGGAAATTTTAGTAAAACTAGGAAGGTATAGAAGTTCACGATTTTTTAAGAAGAGTTACAATATTATTTTTCACTAGCTTTGAATTTCTTGAACCAACCTTGTCTTTTCCTGATTTCAAAGCCTTGTGACAATTATGACACTCTTTAATCTCCTCAGGGTATTGCCAACGAACATCAGTTTCAGATTCATGAATCTGTGCAATTTGCATCTGAAAAATGAAATTCCACAAAATATGTTTTAAAATTGACTTTTCAACTTAAATGACATTTCTAAAGAAATATAATTTGAAAATTGCGTTTTTTGAGGAGGAAGCAGCGCTTATTTATGGAAGACACTCTAAAGAATCGCTACCGTCTTTGCCTCTCTCTACACGTGATTTTATGCACTTGAACCAGTGGTGGATTCAGGCCCCAGTTTTTCGCAGATAATTAGCAAACAGCAGAGATTTATCCAGTGTCCAGATAGTGTCATCCAACTTTTGAACAGCTAGGGCCAGATTTGAAAGTTATAAGAAGAGGGGGGGAGTGTAAGGAGCGGCGCTTATCTAGGCCCTAAGATAAGAGGGAGGCCCCGTCCCTGAAAAGAAATGGCCCTAAGGGCTTCCGTTTGGCCTAAAAAATAACAAGCCCTAGATCCGCAAGTGATTATCTCTCGCTGAGTCTGCTTTAAGCTTGTAAACGTGCACAAAAGAGAGCGCTCACTTGATAATCCGCCAACCCAGCTATACTTAACTATTTACCCTTAACAACACAATTCACTACACTGAGCTATTATACACAGCTACTTGAGCTTGGCACCACTGTACAGAGAAATACATTGGTATCCATTGTAATATCTCTTTACAGTGGTGTATTCTCTATTTCCGAATTCCCCTTAAAACACTCTGTTTGCCCCCCAAATTTTGCATGAACTATTGTTTTCAAATGCTCCTGGGAGTAGTGCATTTTCCTAAGAGCATTTTTGGGGGCAAACAAAGTGTAGTACGGGGAATTCGAAAATAGTCATAGCCCTGCATAAGAACAGATAGCTTTACATATTTACAGATAGCTTTGTGAAGTAGATAGGTATTCATAGGCCCTGTACCTCTCACCGACTTAATGAGCTAAACTTCTGATACTGATTGCATTACTGAGATTGAATTCTTTACAGTGTATTAATATATACCCTCCTAGATACAGAGAAACACACTGCTATACGAAACTAAATAAACGAAAACACCTGACAAGTTAATATTTCAGCTGACACAAAAAGTTCTTAAGAGAAAGAAACTTTGATTTGTCGTTTCAATTATTATTTCTTTAACCGACTATATTCCTCCTTGCAACTTCTTGCTCTCTTCCAAGATAAAGTTTCTGCTCATACTGAACTGAGGGGGTTTGATATCAAGGAAGAAATAGCAAGAACAGCAGATAATGGTTGACACCATAAAAAATCCGAGATTTATGGGGCATTTTAGGCATGGATTAAGGGGTGGGAAAGTTGTGTCGCTACACAAGGGAATGACAGCCAAATTTGACTAAAAATGAAGTACAAACAAAGTATTTCATGTGAAAGATATTGTAACTTTTTTATGGTACTTTATATTGTCTTGTTTACCGTAAAATTCCGAAAATAAGCCCCGGGACTTATATTTTTCAAAGGCCCTTTTTGAGGGGCTTATTTTTGGAGGG